CTTATACAATTAAGAGTAGCTATGAGATTAGTCAGCAAATCGCTTATAGCCTTTTGAAGTTACTTGATTTGAAACAGTCGGATATCTAATTGTAAGTCATCCAGAGCAATAAACCTACTCTAAAACTTTAAACAGAAAACTCTTTGATAAAGTTTTTCAAGTATCTCTAGATCTGGATATTTATCTTTAAACTTGCTCAGTTAGATACCGTATTTATTCTATAAACGCCGCCCCCATCAACCAACTTTAGACGCCTCGTTCTCAGTCCCATTTTGAGATATTTTTATGTTTAATATATCAAAAGATAGAAGAGATTAAGGACTATCTTTTGATATATTAAATATAAAAATATCTCAAAAATTGGACTGAGAACGAGGTGTCTAAAGTTGATCGATGAGGGCGGCGGAGAAAAAATACGGTAGCAAATTGTAAAGTCATTCAAATCAATAAGTCAGACTTCTAAGCTGAAAACTTTTGATAAAGTTGTCTAAATATCTTTAGAAAAGGATCTGGATCAAGATCTAGGTCTTTTAGATCAATTTGGCGAGTTCTAGCTCAATAGATCCAGATCCAGATCTATTAGGTTGGTAAAAAAGAAATGAGCGTCGTGTTTGTCGATTTGTATTTTATTCACAGTAAAAGATTTTTTAAAATAGTTTATTCTATTAAAAAGAGCGTGTTCTTGCGCATCGTTTGATATATAATTTGTCTATGTTTACTTTGTTTTTTTACAAGAAAGAGTGTTTAGAAAATGTCGGACCAAAAATTTCGCTTGCGGGCCTGCTTGTGGTATAAATTTAAGCAAGGCAAATCGGCTGCTAAAGCTCATCGCGCTCTATCTCAAGTGTTTGACGAAGATGCTCTATCCGAAAGTCAGTGTAAACGATGGTTCCAGCGCTTCCGAGACGGCGACGAAAGCTTGGAAGACCAAAAACACGGGAGTCGACCTCAAATCATCGACAACGACGCATTGAAGGAAGCCATTGAGTCGGATCCACGCCAAACCACTCGCGACCTGGCAGAACAGTTCGGCTGCACTCATGTCACCATTGAGAACCATCTGCATGGGATGGGCAAGACGAATAGATGCGGAAAATGGGTACCGCATAAGCTATCCGACACAAACAAGGCGACACACATCGCAATCGCCGCCAAGAACAGTGGGTTTTTCGACTCCATTGTTACGTCGGATGAGAAGTGGATCCAATACGACAACACAGCAAGAAAGCGGCAGTAGTTGGACCCCGGTGAAGCTCCAAAACCGACTCCAAAACCGACTCCAAAACCGGACATCCACGGAAAAAAGGTGATGCTTTGTGTTTGGTGGAACAGTAAAGGCCTGGTGTACTTTGAGGTTCTGGATTCGGGTCAAACAGTTACGGCGAACCTCTACCAAGGCCAATTGGACCGCGTGGACCAGGCGCTGCGACGTCAAGGTGTGGATACGGCGTCGACAAAATTCCTCCACGACAACGCTCAGCCGCATGTCGCAAAAATCACCCAGCAGAAAATTGAAGAAATGGGCTGGGAAGTCCTGCCTCATCCGCCATACAGCTCAGACTTGGCGCCTTCCGACTACCATCTGTTCCGATCAATGCACCACTTCTTGGTCGAGAAAAAGTTCAAGAACCGCGACGAGGTCCAAATTGGGTGTCCAACTTCTTCGAGTCGCAGCCGGTCGAGTTCTTCAAGAAGGGCATCCATTCTCTGCGTGAACGTTGGCGACAAGTCATTGATGCAGATGGCGAATACCTTTTGGATTAATGTATTGTTATCTTGTTTTTATAATAAAATAAACTTTTAACGAAAACGCGCATTTCTTTTTTACCAACCTAATAGATCAATTGGCTTGCTCTTTAGATCTGATTCAGATCTCAATTTTTCTTCTTCTTTCTAAAGATTTCTGTTCAAAAACTTTTCAAAAATCGTACAGTTCCCGATAGTGAAAGAAAAAAAAAGAGGAAAAGGGTGAACCATTATTTTGTGCGGCTTTTCATCGAAAGAGGGAGCGGACACCGCCCCGTGTCCGCTTTTATCGGACATTTTGGTGAAGGGAATCGACAAACCTTTTCTCTCTTTTCACCAAAAAAAAGATGGGAAAAACCCTCTCGAAATGCCAAAAATGGACAATATGAAAACAGATACACAATACACTGCTTTTCAATCAACTGACCACCACCGCCCCGGGAGTGTTTTGCAAGTTTGCCCGCTTTTTCCGCTCGCTAAAAACTTTACGATCTTTCCATATACAAACTTAAGTCTTTATTTACTTTTTTTAAAAACTTTCATCTTTCATCATCTTTCAATAGTTGTTTCTGTGCTTCTGTAGCATCTTTCCCTATCATTTTTCTACTATAATGAGTACTAGATGACTGAACTTGTCTTACTACAGCTGATTGACTTTCTTTTGATTTGAAATAGTTATCTAGGATTTGAAGTAGTTATCTAGTATCTGAATTTTAAATACCTATCCAGTTATCCTGTACCTATGTGATCTTAAAAACTGTTTTCTGAAGATTGTTTTCGTTTAATCTTTAATCTTTAATCAGCTGGCTAAAAGTAAAAATTCATAGATCATTCAGCTTTTATCCATTCTTCACTCCAATATTTCAATCCAACCAATCACTATTATAGTTAGAACTAAAGTGTGAAAAGAGTGGGCGAAAAGAAAGAGGAATTTTGTATTCTGAGCTGAATTCGATCGTCAATCTGCTATGGAAAAGAAATACTGAGAAAGAAGAGAAAGAAGAGAAAGAAGAGAAAGAAGAGAAAGAAGAGAAAGAAGAGAAAGAAGAGAAAGAAGAGAAAGAAGAGAAAGAAGAGAAAGAAGAGAAAGCTTGAGACAAGATTGACTAAAAGTAGATGAAGATGATGATGTGATCATAAAAATGTAAATCGAAAGGGGAAAGAGAACGGGAAAAGGATGATCGAGTGCACTTCTTCTAACAATTCTCTAGTTTAGCTTGAAAGTATCAATTTGGTGGCTTTAGTTATGCTTTAGTTATTCTTTTTTCAATCCATTAGATATTTATTCATATCCATGAACCCAATTTAAAATCTTCTTATGATATCCAATTCACCTGAGGATTATTTTTGTTTCTATGGACTATTATTTCGCAAAAAGTTTATTTTTAACTAGTTTTGAAGAGGATTCAAAGCTATCAAATGGCTAAAAAAGTTTCATTTCTCTTTAAATCCTCATCAATTATCAATAAAACAGTAATAACTAAAGGATTTTTCACCAAAAATTTGTTAAAAAGGATTTTTGAGTGTCTTATAACATTGAAAAAGATTGTTTTCAATCAATAAGCTCATCATTTTCTCATTTGATCACAGTTTTCTTTATCGATTTTTAAAGAATTAAGCTTGCTTCTCAAGCTTCCTTCTTAAGCTTGCTTCTTAAGCTTGCTTCTCAAGCTTCCTTCTCAAGCTTCCTTCTCAAGCTTCCTTCTTAAGCCTCTTTCATAAGCCTCCTTCATAAGCCTCCTTCATAAGCCTCCTTCATAAGCCTCCTTCTAAGCTCCTAAGCCTGCCCTTTCATAGCCTCCTTCATAAGCCCCTCAGCCTCCTTCATAGCCTCCTTCTCAAGCCCTTCCGCTTCCTTCTTGCTTTTCATAAGCCTCCTTCATAAGCCTCCTTCTCAAGCTTCCTTCTCAAGCTTCCTTCTCAAGCTTCCTTCTCAAGCTTCCTTCTCAAGCTTCCTTCTTAAGCTTCCTTCTTAAGCTTCCTTCTTAAGCTTCCTCCTTTTTTAGATCAGTTAACACTCCTTGTAAACTGATTTGATCGTAATTTTAAATAAAGAAATAATCATTTCAGTGGTTATTCATATAATCATAAAGAAATAATCATATATCTCACCTAGTAATCAAACCATTTATTTTATAGAAAAAAACTTTCACTTATAACTTTCAAGTTTTGTGTAAACCGGGGAAGAAGCTGTGAATCACCATCTTTTCTTCGGGTTTTTTCTAAAAGAATTTCGGAATCTCTTGTCGCTTCGGGCGATTTCTGCGAATCAAAAGTGCACAACAAAAAAAGCGGGCCGAAAGTCGAATCATCAATGCTTTCTTTCTTTTTTTTGACTAGAAAAGGTTTCACTAGAGAATCTTGACTTAAGAATTCTAGTGTACAGAGAATCTCATCTTGACTACCATTGCTAATGCTTCACTAGAGAAGCTTGACTTAAGAATTCTAGTGTACAGAGAATCTCATCTTGACCGCCATTGCTAATGTATCACTAGAGAATCTTTGCTTAAAGAATTCTAGTGTACAGAGAATCTCATCTTGACCGCCATTGCTAATGTATCACTAGAGAATCTTTGCTTAAGAATTCTAGTGTACAGAGAATCTCATCTTGACCGCCATTGCTAATGTATCACTAGAGAATCTTTGCTTAAGAATTCTAGTGTACAGAGAATCTCATCTTGACCACCATTGCTAATGCTTCACTAGAGAATCTTAACTTAAGAATTCTAGTGTACAGAGAATCTCATCTTGATCACCATCGCTAATGCTTAAATTTGAGAATTTAAAGCTTTGCATTAGTCGTCAATCATCAATAGAATTATTAAACTTAATAAAATGAGCTGAATAGATGTAGTGAGACTTTCAGTGAGACTTTCGGAAGAAACTTTCAGAAGATTTTTGAACTTGATCGAATAATCGCATACGATTCTTTGCATATCATTCTATGTCAATTCACCGTTAAACAACTCTACTTTTAACTGAAGACGAAATTCAATCATTCCTCAAACATATAGCTATCAATTCCTCAACTTCAATAACCTCTTTGTCCTAACAATTCCCTCCTTATCGACCTTTTTGAAGCTGTCAAAAGGCTTTCTCGGTCGTTGGCCTCTTTTTTGGTCATTCAAGAAAATGCTCTATTATTATCTTTATGCGAAAATCGGGAACCTCAATTGGACCCACCTTACTCTTATTTTTTTTTGGATATTTTATATGTTTGAAAAGAGATCGAGAATCAATTCCAGAATGAGAAGATGAGCACGGTGAAAGCCATGGACACGGTAATCATGCCGCCTCCGCCAGCAAAGGTTTGCAATTGTTAGCTGAATTAGTTCCAATATTAGATCCAATTAGTTGCTGTCTGTCTAATATTAGCTCACTTTATTCAAACTTCTATTCATCTTTCCTTGCATCAATGCAAGGCAAGATGAATAGAAAATTGAATAAAGTGATTCTATTGAAATATTGAGATATTGAAATATTGATCGATTGATTTATTGATCTATTGATCTATTGAGCTATTGAGATATTGAGATATTGAGCTATTGAGATATTGATCTATTGAGATATTGATCTATTGATTTATTGATTTACTGATTCTATTGACATAAAGCTAATATGTCAATGGAATCAATAAAATCAATAAAATCAATAGAGTCAATAGAAAGAGTCAATAGAAATCAATAGAAATCAATAGAAATCAATAGAAATCAATAGAAATCAATAGAAATCAATAGAAATCAATAGAAATCAATAGAAATCTATAGAAATCTATAGAAATCTATAGAAATCAATAGAAATCTATAGAAATCAATAGAAATCAATAAAATCTCTATTCCATTCGATTGATTGTCAAATCATCAGATCAAATCATCAGATCAAATCATCAAATCACATTTTCACATCTCAAACCTTCTTAAAGTACTCTACAACTCTTATTCTTATTCCCCAAGACTCAATTTCAAGTTCTTATTTTACATAAGCTTCATTCATTCTCCTTGAGCCTATTTAAAGCCCCTTAAAGTCTCTCACAGAAAAATATGTAAAGGCAATCAACCAAAACAGCACCCCTATTTGGAAATCGGTATTTGGAGATTTTTCGAATAGAAATGGACACTACTCGATGGATTACAGAGCGTCTCTCTTTCATATTGAAGAGTCGCTATCTCCTCTCATCACAACCGGTCACCCCCTTTCCTCTTATTCTCATCTACATACCCTCTCCAATCCCCTACTTACAATGCCATCGGCTGTGCTCATCCTTCCCTCAACCAGTTACATAACCACCTTTTGTACATTGTCAAACAGTCAAACAAGCTTCTTTCTAGTGGCTGGCTTGTGAATAGCGGAATTTGCAATTCTGTGACTTATGGAAGATTTTCTGGACAGCCTACTAGACCAGGTCAGGCTTTCATAGCTTGACAGACTCTACCCTGAACAGGTTGACATTGTAGCCATTGTAGCGGATACTTTAACAGAAGGAGTTGCTGGGCTTGCTAAGTTTCAAATTGGTTTTTTATCGAAACGAATTTCGGCACTTGTTTCGAGGATAGAGTTTAAGAGTCTTCAACGAATTCCCTGGCCATGTAGTGGTCATGTAATCCTTAGTGGTCAAGTTTGATTAGGTAAAGTATTCACTAGTGGATTTAGTCTATTAGATTCTCATTCTATTAGTCTATTAGATTATTGGATACACAATATTATAGTACACAGTAAGATAATTTAAGTCCTAAAGGAAGTTCTAAAGATAGTTCTAAAGAAAATCCCACCATCTCTTTGATCTGTTGAAAGGAAAATCTGAAGGTGAGTTCGATTTCTCTTTTACGCAATGACCCATTCTCAAAAAGGTGAAATCCAGTCTTCAAAATGAAAGCTTTTCTTTTCTTTTCTCTAGAATGGATCTGAAATCTGATGTTTTTCGAGTGAAGTTGTTCCCGATGGCGCAACTCTTTTCGGTCAAAGGGGGAAAAGCTTAGAGCTGACCGCTTTTTGAAAAATCGAAGGACAGAGAGATCTGTGAGGAGACCGGTTCTATCGAAAAGCCTCTAGGGGAGAATGGATGATGGAAGGAGGGCAGGCAATGAAGCCGGTCTTCTGCCATCTCATCCGATCCATTTGAGAGAGGGGATGGGACGAGGGAATGGCTGAGGTCATCCCGTATCCTCGTTTTTAGCTTTTACTTATCTTTAACCCTTCTCAAATGGCTTTTATGTCCTTTTATGTCCTTTTGAACTATTTCCAACTGTCATTAGAGCTTACTTTTTACCCTTTCTCACTTCTTATCTTCTTTTCTTCTTATCTCCTTTTCTTCTTATCCAACCCTATTCTAATTCTTGAACAAAGCTTTACCATGCTCACCTCATCATCATTTCACCATCGTCACTTCCCGGTTTGCTTCCCATTGTGCTTTCCCTCTGCGATAGCTGTTTGCCCATATTCGGCAAAGCTGTTTTGTGATTGTGGCTTCTTCCCCTCAATGGTGTTTTCGACCATTCAAGAAGGTGAAAGCTGAATCAACAATGATCAATGCCAGAGTCGATTTTTGCAAATTTCTCTGCTTTCTATGCCGTCCGCTTCCGCGTTCACACAATAAAGCAAAATGCTTTCAATTTTATTCACAAAAAGACCCCAGCTATGTATGCATTTGATTGAAGAAATGGCTTTGTGACGTGAGGGTTAGCTTTGAGAAGATGAGGAGAAGATGAGGAGAAGAAGAGAAGAAGAAGAGAAGAAGAAGAGAAGAAGAAGAGAAGAAGAAGAGAAGAAGAAGAGAAGAAGAAGAGAAGAAGAAGAGAAGAAGAAGAGAAGAAGAAGAGAAGAAGAAGAGAAGAAGAAGAGAAGAAAAGGGAAAAGAAGACGATCATTGGTTATCATTCTAATTTCATAACCCTTAAGACTTAAGACTAAGTTATGAAATTTGAACAAGTACGGTTCAAGTATTGTAAAGTTTCGTATCAAATACTCAGCCAGGGTAAATCCCGTTCTCAATTGGGTATTCTAATGCCTGAATGCTTTTGATGCCAGTATTGAAACTGAAAACTAGAACTTTAAACTTTAAAAGATTTTCAAGTCTATGACAAAGACGGGCAAGCTTCAATGTACTGGATTTGTACATTGAGTCACATCATGATCATGATCAGTCACTCAATTTACTTCAAAGCTAAAGTAATTTAAGTAAACCCATCCGCTGGATTACAATAAAAAAAGCCTTATGCCTTAAGCCTTAAAGCTTATGTAAGCTCAGTCATTGTCATCAGTTCAGGATTGCTTATTCAATTTAAAAGACAAATCTCCAACACCGATCTCTCAAGTAGACGATGATCGAAAAGTAGAAAAGTAGACGATAATCGAAAAGAATAGAAAGAAAAGGATCGACAAAATCCTTTTGGCCTTCTTCATCCCCAATCCAGATAAACAAATTTGTCTCTTCTTTGAGAATAAAAGGAGAATTTTGAGTAATATTGAGAAATATTGAGGAATATTGAAGAATATTGAAGCGGTCATTGCAACCAGTAATCAAACTTTAATCTTTTACTTGAACCTTTTACTTAAATTTATCTGCAACTAAAACTCAATCGATCTAGACTGTGCTGAGGTGTCTGATGAGTGACGATCTTGTTTTCCTCCAAGCTTTGCAGCATCTCCAAAAATTTGTAAACCCATCAAATCACTCTAGCCGGGTGATTTTTATTCTTTTTATAATAAAATCAGCGATATTAAAATAAAAAAACAGGTGGTTGCCGTAAAAAAATTTTTATCGTCACCCGGCCGCGATTAATACCCCCCCTTTAACCTTTTACTTAATAGCAATATTTAAAGCTTAGATAGTCTAGTCTAGGTTACTGTAATGAGTGTCTCTAAAAAGAGCTTTCTTCGACCTTTTTCCTTGTCTGAATTTCGATCCGACCTCCACCTCAATATCCAGAAAATCGACTAGATGAGGAAAGACAAAACTTGATTGGTAAGTGTCTCTTTTTTTTTTAATCTTTCTACAGATCCGAGAGAGGTGAGCGAGGAAAGCGATGAACTTTCAAAAGCTTCAGATTTTCATATGATTCAAATTTTAAAAAAGAAAACAAAGTTGTATACTTGTAAGAATGTTAAAGTTTAATTTTACCAATTATTGATTACAATGATCGCTTCAATCTTTTCACAAATCTTTTCTCAAATTCTCCTTTTTGTTTTCTCGTTTTTCTCTCCAAGGTCGAAGAAAGCTCTTTTTAGAGACACTCATTACAGTAACCTAGACTAGACTATCTATGCTTTAAATATTGCTATTAAGTAAAAGGTTAAAGTTTAATTATTGATTACAATGATCGCTTCAATCTTTTCACAAATTCTCCTTTTTGTTTTCCCGTTTTTCTCTCCAAGCACATCAAAAATTTTCATAGGAAATCTTTGATAATAGAAATTCCCTCAAAATTCTTGATCAAGACCAAGACCAAGATCAAGATCAAGCTAGTGATCTTCAAGGATCACTAGCTTCTTCAAAAACACTCTTAAATATTTCAGCCAATTTTTCAGCCGATTGGTGAGTGTTCCGAGAGCTAATCTAGACTCTCGACCCTTCCGGTAAATGGTCTCTAGAGAGAAAAGAAGCTAGTCTAGACTCGATATTCTCGATTTCTTCTCTTTTGTCGCTCTTTCACCGACCGCCCCCTTTTTTCCGAAATGAACGCAAACGACAAAACGGTCGCACAGTCGCTTTTTCCTCGACCACAAGAATAGACCCGATGGGGACTGTCCTTTCCATTCTTTCCATCCTTTCCATCCTTTCCATCCTTTCCATTCTTTCCATGATGTCCGTTTTATGTCCATTGCTGGACCTTTCATCAATCTCTAGCTCAGATCGTTTCTTGTTCCGCTTTTTTTTTGATTTATTTTTGATATCTTGAATCTTTTATTCAATTTGACTTGTTATTTGTTAGATTTTAGATTCAAATCCCGTTCATAAAACTTTAGCAAGGCTCATCTTATCGTAGATTCATCTTCTAGTGAATCTTACTGTAGATCTAGGTCTTACTAGTCTACTGGAGTCTACTATAGCCTTAGGATAGTCCAAGTCTTACTGTAGATCAGGTATTGTCTACCGAACTGTCATCTCAGCGTTTAGGCATGAAGATTTGAGATCTGCTTCAGCTGAGAACTTCAACTCCAAACCTTAGACCTTCCGCTTCTTTCTATTCTATCTTTCTTTCTATTCTTTCTTTCTATTCTTTCTTTCTATAGAACTTTATATTCAATCTTTCCTTTTTAAATTCATATTTTATATCTAAGACTTGTCAAGCTTTTCCCTCATTTACTCCTCATCGAAAATCCCCTCCTCAACAGCCTTTGTTCTGATAAATTGAATCAAGAAGACTTCTCTTCAAGAAAAATTGCCTTTTACCTATCCTCAGTCACAATGGCATGTTGGGGGTCATGAAGGATCTGGAAAAAAGGATTCCAGGCTCGTACACAAAGAGCTTTCAAAGAAATTCGGGGAGAAGGGAATGTCCACTGACCACCTCTCTCCGTCAGCCTCTCCCCAGTCCTCCAATCCACAGAACCGGTCTCCATTCACCCTTTCTTGTCCAAGCTCACCCCTGAGGGGTCGTCGGCATCCCTGCCATCCCCCATTCCCCCAATCTTTTTTTCTTTTTTTGAATACCCCTTCATCCCCTAGACTCCACGTTTTTCAAGGTTTTCAACTCGATTCAAGGCTGCGAAAGTTTGACTTTATTTATAGGATTTCTTACTCTTTTGGATTTGATTTAATGATCTACTTGGAAGACCCTAGCTTGCATCGAGATCTTGTTGATCTCTACATCCCGACATCAATATTCATCACTCTACATATCCAAAATCGATCTATTATCTATTCCACTGTCTAATACAAACTCTTTCTCACGCATCTGATTGAAATTCGAGAACGATTCTCTGTTGTTTTTCTTTTAACTGGTGTGTACAATTCTACAAATCGTTTTTGTCCAAAAAATCGATCATAAATTATCAAAGAAGTGGAAAATCGGGATGAAGAGGGGAAAGAGGAGATGATGTGAGATCGAATGAGATCGAATGAGATCGAATGAGATGACCTCTTCACCCACGCACTTCTCTCCACTCTCATCTGATTTCAAAATCATTTTGTGATTCAAAATCAGAAAGTGATCATCGACTTTCATTCAGTATTCGGTTTTCCTCCAGCTTCTAAGCTTTGCCCATTGATTACCGTAATTCTAATTAGATTTCAATCCATTTTCTGATCAATCCTTTCAACTAATCAATCCATTTTCTGATCAATCCATTTTCTAATCAATCCATTTTTTAATCAATCCATTGGGGCAGCAAAGGAATCCGTTGTCTGACCCAATCCGATCTGCCAACTTGAGCAACGTCCGCTCGGGCTAGTCGAGTCCATTTTCTGATCAATCCTTACAACTAATCAATCCTTTCAACTAACCAATCCATTTTCTAATCAATCCATTTTCTAATCAATCCTTTCAACTAATCAATCAATTTTCTAAAAGTCCTATTGTCAAAAACTAACCTAATCAAACCATAGTTCAAATCAAAGTTCAGTTCAAATAGCTCACTTTTTATATGATTGAATGACTGATTCCTTATCGAATAATGTCAAAATGAGCTAATCGGATGAAAATTGTCATTTCGACTACATCAAGCTTAAGCAAGCTCAAGAGAATTCCAAGCCTTACAGTAGATCTATTTTCTCTTGTTTTACCCACCTTTCAAATATCTATTTTGTTGTTTTTCGAAAAACCCAACCCCTAGATGAACTTTTTACCCCTTGCAACCTCGCTTTCAAATGAAATATTCAAGAAAATGCCTTCACAAAATTGTTATTTCATCCCAACCTCAAGGGTAAACTAAAAGTTGTCTTTTATTTGAGAAAACGAATCTTTTGAGGGTGTTCCTCAAGGGGTTGAGAGATCTTTCTTCTCATTTTAAACATCTCTTTTCATTTCATTTTTTTTACCATTTAACTAAATTCATTGTAGTTTCTCTCTCTCTCTCTCGGAACCTCGAGAGGCTTATTGTCCGAATTTCAGGGAAGAGAAATGGGGGGAGTTGCGGTCAGTGCTGTCCCTTGTCCCTTCGATCACCTTCTCTTATTGTTGAGTGACCGCTACTCCCATCCTTTCCCTCTCAATTCCCTTTTCTATACTGCCATCGATATTTCCTATTTTGAATTGAGTATTTTAAATATAGATATAGAATTCTATTTCTAGCATATTTAATGCTTTGTCTTGGTGTTGTCATCTTCATTTTTCGAGGTGACTCTAACCAGCTCTAACCAGCTCTAACCATCTCTAACCAGCTCTAACCATCTCTAACCATCTCTAACCAGCTCTAACCAGCTCTAACCAGCTCTAACCAGCTCTAACCAGCTCTAATCAGCTCTAACCAGCTCTAACCAGCTCTAACTTTAATCTCCTCCAATATTTGGTGCCAAGAGGAAAGTGAGCTTAAACGAAAAAGCTTTTCAGAATCCTTTTTGGGGAAAGGACCGGTCCTCGCTTCTGTCCCCATTCACCCGATCGGCATCGATCTGACCGACGCCCGAGATACCCGTCCCTCTCCCCCAGGGTTTCCTTTTCTGTCCTGTTTTCCTTTTCTCTTCTCTAACCGGTTCGAAACATTAGTTTTGTTTAGCCGATGAAAATGTTGTGGTGAGCCTTATTAAAATTCCATCACACTCAATGATAGGGAAAAGTTTGCCGCTCGAAATTGATCACTGACTAAACTTGTCATAGCAAAGCAAAGAATTTTGTTATTTCGAAACTTTCTCAGAGTTTTCTTTCTCACACTTTCTCTAGAGTTTAATTTGAAAGAAATTGAAAAGAGTTGAGGGTTAAAGAGTCGTTTAAAGTAACGGTCAACGAGAGAAACTCTCTGAACTTATTTTCCAAATTCTCCCCGAGGTATGGTCTATTTCTATGGTCTATTTTGTTCACTTTTAAGGCTTTTCAAAAAAGGGATGCTCTTTCTCAAATTTTCTCTTCTTTTTCCTCATTTTCATTCAGTTTTTGAGAACCATAAATGACTGCTCATTTTAAAGGTGAAGAAAAGGGCAGGACTGTCCCTTCCTGTCCTCTTCCCTTTCTCCGTTCTTCCCTTCTTCCCCTCTTCCCTTCCTTTTTCCATCTCGAGGAGTTGCCATCCTGTCTCTTTTCTATCCTTTTCTTCTTTTTTCTCTTTTCATCTAATGGAAGCTATTTTGTTTTGTGAAAAGTTTCTTTTCTCTGTGTTGTTCACTTAGACACTAAGCTTGTTCACTAAAGAAACTGCTCAATGTTGCATTTTGGTGAGCAAGAGCTTTGAGAGCAAAATAGTCATCACTTCTAGCTAGCTAAGATGCAAGTTTTGAATGGGATTGATACCTGGATAAGGTTTTGCAAAGCCTGAACTAATATAGAACAAGCAAATGCAATGATTCCCTAGATCCCTTACATTGAAGGGGCAAAGTCTCATGGAAACGGAACTACCCCTTCACAAACAAAAAGGGGGAAACGGTAGCGGAAGGGTCTTTTCTCCTTTTCATCTTTTTTTTTCCTTTCTTTTCCTCTAAAAAGGGTCGTTTTTCTTTCTCTCCGATGCGGTCAAACATACAGAAAATGAAGGTCGACAAAAATAGAAACAGCCGCGGAAGAGAACTGGATCAACTGGCTGGAAGAGAGGGAAAGGAGACCGGTTGATCTAGCATCTCATGGAGATTTAGGAATTGTACTATTGTTGAGAATTACTGTAGCTAGCTGTCAAAGGTAGTAAAACTTGGCTATTGCAATAGTTGATCAGATCAATCTTCTTCAACACTAAAGTCATCAGCAATCAAACTAGCTACAGTAGCTACAATAACTACAGCAGCTACAGCAGCTACAGTAGTAACTACAGCAGCTACAGTAGCTACAGTAGTTCCTTAGAGTCCATAGATAGCTACAGTAATCCTTTAGAAACAGATTCTCATCGCTTTGAGGCTAGTAGATCTTTAAAATCTTTGGAATCTTTGGTATTAATCTTTGCAAAGAAATCTGGAGCTACCTGCAGCTATTCCCTTGTGTAGAACTGTTAGTATTACAAACTTTTCGTCTTATAGTTCAAAAAAAAGTTTCTCGAAATTCCCGCGGGAATGATTCACCCTTTTCGCACCGTATCCTCAACTTCCACTTCCGCGTGCCCCTTCCCCTTCCCTTCCCTTCCTTTCCCTTCCCTTCCCTTCTCTTCCTTTCCCTTCCCTTCCCTTCCCCTTCCCTTCCCGGTCCCCTGTTCGGGGTCGATGACCTGTCCTTCCCCTTCGGCCCCAGACTGGTCCGCGCTCTTCCGATTCCCAGATCAAAACATCGAGCGGAAACATGAATGCAGCTGTTTGCAGACCCTTTTCGTCCTGTCACCCTCTTTCTTTCTTTCTTTCTTTCTTCCTTTCTTTCTGATCTCCCCTACGGGCAGAGGCTTTTCGCCCCTCGGCTCTCCCGTTTCAAGGGGGTGCCGTGTCAGGGTTCTCCGCGCGCATTCCGGAAGCGCACCGATGAGTTCCCCCTTTCTCCATCACCATCACTTCTTCCTTTTACTTCTCCAGATCTTTTGTTAACGTTCTTACTTTCTTCAGTCATTTATATTCTTATCTGATCTGATATTGATCTTGTTCTTGTTCTGTTCTTGTTCTGTTCTTGTTCTGTTCTTGTTCTGACCTTAAAATTTAACCTATTAGCTTGATCTATAGATCTTTAAAATGTTAATTTAAGTCACTCTGAGTCAAAGATTGATGTTGTTTCTTGAATTCTTGAAATTGAATCTCTTAGCTTGATCTTTATTATTTTGATTTTAAGCAAAATCAATTCCAGACACTGAGTGCTGCCGTCGTTCCCCCGCCAACGTCTACGGACAATCGCCCCGACGTTCAGGTAAATTGAAATCTATTTTCTGGTCTGAATTACTGTAGATTTCTTGTCTTTCAATCAAAATCCTTTTCTAGGCGGAGGTCTCGGTGGTGGGTCGAGGAATTGGTGTTCCCCCGTCGACTCCACTCGTCCGTCCCTCCCCACTTTTCTCTCCAGCTATGATGGCTGCTCAACTAGGCGTTTTCAACTCGAACAATATTCTTTCAATGATGCAGGTTTGATTTTAATTCATAATTTAAAGCTCATAATTTAAAGCTCATAATTTAAAGCTCATAATTTAAAGCTCATAATTTAAAGCTCATAATTTAAAGCTCATAATTTAAAGCTCATAATTTAAAGCCCATAATTTAAAGCTCATAATTTAAAGCTCATAATTTAAAGCCTATAAAGTCTCTTTAAGCTAACTGTACGGTTTTTGGAGTGAATTTTTGATTGAGAACTGATTGGGCGATGGTTTCAGTCTTATCACTTTATAGCAAAGTTCTTAGGGGTGAAAAGATGAAAAACACGGAAAGAAGGGTTTAAAAGAAAAAGAGTGCTTTCTTTTTTTATGATTGTTTGCCTTTTCACCCTTCCTTTCCTTTTCCCTGTGCCCGTATAAACGAATGGCGAAATGGACAAGGAAGGGACTCGAATAGAAGGAAAAGAGACTGTGCGGATGAGGAAAGTCATTGAATCGCCTCTAGAGATTTGAAAGAGACAGTGCATGAGCTGTCTCTTTTCCTCTTTTTTCCAAATTTCTCTCTTTTCCTTGAGTTCTCTTTGAGTTCCCTCTCGAAACACCCCCACTCTCCGAGAACTTTTTTTTGTTACCACCGCAAAAAACAAAAACATTTTGTAAATGAAAACGGGAAACAGCTGATCGACAGGTTACGGTAACTTGTTTCCTTTGGGAATTGAGATTGAGATTAAGATTGAGATTAAGATTGAGATTAAGATTGAGATTGATGGAGGGAATGCTAGGAGTTAATTGATAGGAAAAGAAGATCATGTTACAATTAGCTACAGTAATCAGAGGCCACAACAAGCTACAGTAATCTGAAACTAAGGAAGCTACACTAATCTCGAGCTACAGTAAATTGAAGCCACAGTAAGCTGCAATATTGAAGCTACAGTAAGCTGCAAGCAATACTAGCTAAGCAATATTGAAGCCACAATAAGCTGCAAGCAATACTAGCTAAGCTTTCTAAGCAATACTAGCCACAGTAAGCTGCAATATTGAAGCCACAGTAAGCTGCAATATTGAAGCCACAGTAAGCTGCAATATTGAAGCCACAGTAAGCCACAGTAAGCTCCATTCTACAATTGTTTACAGTGCTTCCATGCTTCCAAACTGACAAATAGATTTATAAAGTAATAAACTATAAACGAAAACTTTTTTCTAAGCAATACTTGCAACTTATTGTACCTTCAAAAACAAGGATTTCCTGAACAGAGATCGAATAGAAATTGACCCAGAAAGATTGAAAAATGTGAAGGGATTAGATGAGCAACGGGACTTTTGAACAGATTCCTTGCAAAGAAAAGCGTCACGTTCATTCAATTGAGAAGAGTTGATCTTTATTCAAAGAAGTCATTCATGGGGCTGATATTGACGTGTCGGATGAATAGACAAATGAAATTATATATTGAACTCTTTGACACCTCAAGAAGTCAGATTAAAGTTGATGAATGACTGCAGATGTGCTTGTGCATTGGTTCAGAAGTTAGACTAAAGTTAAAAGACTTTAGACTAGGAAACGGTTTGCAGAAGTTGCAAGTGTAGAAGTAGCAAGTGCAGAAGATTGGCATAAAGTGCTCAATTCCTTGACTGGCGATTCTTGAGTTCTTGAGTGACTTCAGAAGAAGTAAAGCATTCAAAACCGTACTTGGTCTCCGCTTTTCCCCTCAAAAAAAAAGTCTTTCTTTCGATCGTTTGATGGAATGGATGAACCTTGAGAGGTACCCTATGCAAATTTCGAAGAGGATAGGATGGGTGTCCTGTAAAAGAGAGATGGGGGACACTCCCCAGCCCTTCTCTGGGTCGATGGAACCATGTCATGTCACGAGCAAACACCATCCATCCCCCCCACACTCTCACAAATACCATATTTCTTCATAGAGCTTATAAATTTCATCTTTTTTTTGATAAATTTGAAGCTTGAAAAGTTTCATTTTTCTGTCAATCGCAAGAAATTAATTTTTAAAAGAAAAGAAAAGCTTTCCTTAAAAGTTTCAATTTTTCTTGAGCCATTTGTTGTCCATTTGAATTGTCCATTTGAAAATAAGTCGTCATTCAATCGTCTGAATTAAAATTCTTGAAAAATATGAGTGAGTGAACTATGCGGGAACCCATTAGTGGAAAAAGGAAAAGGAAAAGGAAAAGGGAAAGGGGAAAGGCTTTGATTCACGCTTTTTACTACTTTTCCTTGAATGCTAAACGATTATTACGAGTAGTGACCCGCTCTTTAATGAAAAGGAAAAGCATTGAAAGGTTGAAATCCGCTTTCCGAAGAGAAGGGTTCTTTCCGAAGAGATCTTATGCTTCGAGCTAATTAGTATTGGCGCCATTTTCCGACCACAACCACACTCCATCACTGAATCTCAACCCAGAGCTATTTGAGCTCAACCCAGAGCTTGCATTATTTCTAAGAAATCTCAATATTTTTAGCATTTTAATCGAATGATTTGAATTTACTTTAAGAGTTATAAGCATTATTTTTAGCTTTTAATCATTCAAAAGTGGTAAAGGATTTAGTTGGCAAAGGATTTAGGCGAAGGATTTAGTTGGCAAAGGATTTAGGCGAGGGATTTAGTTGGCAAAGGATTTAGGCGAGGGATTTAGTTGGCAAAGGATTTAGGCGAGGGATTTAGTTGGCAAAGGATTTAGGCAAAAGATTCTCATCTTAATCTCAAAAATATTGTTCTTCTCATCTCAATCTCAAAAATCTTTTATTAACTGTAAAATTTTACCAAGATTTCTAGATACCGTATTTCCTCTAATAGTAGTGCACCCTGAGTGTCGTCTAAATTCCTTGAAATCTCGAGAACCGCTTATCAGAACCGATGTGGGGTTGGAAAATGTAGCTGACGATGAGATCTAGTGGGGGATTTGAGTGTTGAGCTTCTGCAAAAGCTTGGAAACCGTAAAATAGTCACCAACTCGGCTCGCCGCGGTGCACTACTATTAGAGAAAATACGATAGTTTATATTGTTATTTTTACAAAAAAAACCATAACATTAGATATTTTGACTCACAGTTTAAAAAACTGATCTTAAAATAACAATATCGAAAAGCTTGAAACACTTGTTGCAAAGTTATAGCTGAGAAATCTAATCCAGGTTAATCAGGTTCTATAGAAATCTGTTAAATATAAAGATTCTATGAAAATTATACAATTCTAAGCTCTCCATTGACCTTTATAGCTTTCTTCTCATCTCGGATCATTTATCCGACTTCAAGCCATCCCATTGCTCATCCCATTCCTCTTCCTCTAAAGATTTTTTCAACTCAAGACTACACTAAAAAGCTGGGATTATCCCGTCACAGAAATTCATCAGTTTCTTTTCTTCTTCTTCTTCTCCTTCTTCTTCTTCTTTTCAAATCTTGTGGCCGGATCATTTTCTCCATTTTCTTCCTTTTTTTCCCCTTCTCAATCACTTCCAATACTTCGACGCATGTCTCGTTTACCGGATTAGTGCGGATCCGAGTCATCGCTTCCTTCTTTCTCTTGCAAATATTGAAATTTTTCCCATTTAACCAATTTAACTGATTTAACTGATTTGATTTTACTTATTCATGAGCTTTGAGCTAATAAATCGGCATTGTCAAGCGGGAGAGCATGTCTTGGTAAGTGTTTTGGAAAAGATTAGCTACAGCTACAGCTACAGCTACAGCTACAGCTACAGCTACAGCTACAGCTACAGCTACAGCTACAGCTACAGCTACAGCTACAGCTACAGCTACAGCTACACTACGCACAGCTACCAGCTGCTACAGCTACAGCTACAGCTACAGCTACAGCTACAGCTACAGCTTCTTATCCAGCTTTTTATTCAGTTTCTCTTCTCGAAGTTGAAGCTTGTTTTTTACAAGATAACAGAGATAAAATTGTAAAATAGCATAAAATTATAGCATAAAATGTTTACTAGAAGTTAGCTATTAATACAGTTGTACGAACTTGAATCAAATCAACATTTGGCTACAATGATCTAAGCCCATCCCCCACTCTTATTTGATGGTTTGTTGTCAGTGTCATTGGTTCTGTCTATGACTTGTGAAGAAAAGCAAACGAGACGACCTTCACCTCAAATGACCTCCGACCCATCCCACCTGCAGAGAATACAGAGAATAGAAGACCTTCAGCCTTTCCAGCCACTCCTTTTCACCCCAATTTTTCTTTCCATCAATCCCACTCCATCGTTATCAACTCAACTCAATTTTGAGTCAGTACAATCTATTTGAATTTTTGAATTTCCTCAGCATTACTTCCTCAGCATTACTTCCTCAGGACTACTTCCTCAGCATTACTTCCTTTTCAAAGCCATTTCATTTCAAGATAAACCATTTCAAGACATTTTTCCAGGTCATTGGCAAGGCCATCTCTTGCCAGGTGTGCTAGCCCAATTAGTAGTCCTTTGTTTGGCAGGAGAAGTGCGGGCTGACATTTGAGAGGCAGTGGAAGTGACTTTTCTCTGCCTGTACCCATCGAATTTCTCTGTTCTCTCTTGCCTATACCGGCTGTCAACAAGTGCACTCCTTTCCCCATCTCTCTTGCGGTCGACCTTGATTGACCCCGGCTGACCTCCTCCCTTTTCCCCCTTTCCATCACCGCACACTGGCCAGCCTCAGTCTCTGGCCGTGTTTACGTTTCATAATACCCGTCCCCCTGTCTAGATCATGTGCCCATATCTTCATCAAAATAAATGCATTGATTTTCTCATTCTCATTCTCAGGCCTTTGTTCTGCTCTGAACTCTGAAAATTGATTTTCCGGCGAAAAGGTCAAAATTTTCGACCCACTTATCAGCTGGGCTACATCCTTTTTCTTTCTTTTGCTCACCAGAAGTGAGTCACTCACCTTTAGTCTCCCCCGCTGTCTTCAATTCAATTCTGTCATCACACTTTCAACTCTGGATTCATTTCATTGGAGATCTTTTTGAAATTAGTAATAAATTATTTTCTTAAAATAGATTATTTTGATGTTTTTCTTGTCATGGCTTCTTTCTTTCTTTTTCAGAAAACCTCTTTCTTTCTTTCCAGGCCTCCTTCTTTCCAGAAAACAAAGCGATCACCTCATCCTCAAAGTTCTCTGAGAAAATAACTAGTACAGGTTTCCCCGTCTGTTCAAAATTACATCATTGCCCTGTACTGTGTGTGCTTTTAGCCGATAAACCTATTGTAAATGACTCTTTGTAAATGTAAATGACTCTTTGAAAAGATATTTCGCTACAATGACCAAGATTTCCTTGATAAATTGGGACTTAAAGTCCCGGGACTTAAAGCCTAAGCCTAAGTCAGAAAAACCTATAGCTAACTTCATTCATTATAAATTTCAATATAAATTTAAAGTGAAATTTGAAAGGTAAATGGTCGAAACTTTTGAAAGATCGAAACGAGCTATAACAGTAATTTCTTGGCATTTCTCTATAGCTATGACAGTAACAACTCTATCTCTACATTTCAACTTTATAGTTCAAGTTCTTTATCCTGTAGCCCGTCTTCAAGTTCACCACTTTGCCCCACTTTCAAATCTTGTAGTCAAACGGACTACCCTGAAGAGTTCATTTACGCACTTCGGTATTGAAAAGAGCACACACACACATTTTTCTCCCAGGGCAACCGACGACTTTTCTGAAAGGATACCCATATCCCCCTTTTTAGTCACATGCTCATATCCGGGTCATTGCATAAAACAAAACGAATCTTGGCAGAGGTGTTGACATTCAAAAATTTTTCAATTTTTTATTGAAGTGTTTTTGTGAGCCTCTATCATATCCATAAAAAGAATAGAATAAACAATTTCGAAAGTGAGACAAGGGTTATCTTTTTGATGGAATGGGGAATAAGGCTTAAGCCAGAGATTCAACAAGTTATGAATTGTTGAGATAAGAATTCTTTTTACATAATGATATTTGTAAAATGCAGAAAATTCCATAAAAAAAAACATAAAAAGCACTCTTTTCTTTCTTTCAATTGTAGTGTTTAAGTTAATTGTACAAAAGTACTTCTTTTGTACAAGTATTTCTTTTGTACACGTACTTTTGTACTTTCTGCACTTGTTTGTACTTTCTGTACGAGTAGGACGACTTTTGAGAATAAAAATGAATCTTGAAGAGCTTTATAGGCTTGTAGAATTGATCTTGATGAAATATGACTCTATTTTGTATAGAATTTCGAATATAATAAGATAATCTTAAAAGTATTTTATTGTCTTCCAGGCAGCCGCCGCAACGTCGGCTTTCCTCGACCCATCGAGGCGACCCCCACCACCGAGTGGCCAACCCCAACCACCGAACGCTTCACACATGCCCGCCTCACTCCTACAACATCTTGTGCATGTTCGAGGGCAACATGTAAGTTCAAATCTTTTCTTTTCATCTCAGATCTCACTTCGTTTTTCTCATTAGAACTATAGAAATTTTGATTAATCAGAAAAACAATCGATCTATCGTATCGATCTATCGTATCGATCTATCGTATCGATCTATCGTATCGATCTATCGTATCGATCTATCGTATCGATCTATCGTATCGATCTATCGTATCGATCTATCGTATCGATCTATCGTATCGATCTATCGTATCGACTATCGTATCGATCTATCGTATCGATCTATCGTATCGATCTTCGTATCGATCTTCGTATCGATCTATCGTATCGATCTATCGTATCGATCTATCGTATCGATCTATCGTATCGATCTATCGTATCGATCAATCGACCCCTAATAGAACCGTAAGCTATTTTCTCTAAATTCCCTAAACTCTATTTTTTCTAAATTCCCTAAACTCTATTTTCTCTAAATTTCTCGAAATCTCAAAAAGCGCTTATTAGAATCTATCGATGTGGGGTCGGAAAATGTAGCTTATGATGAGATCCTGCAGGGGATTTTGGCGTTGAGCTTCTGTGAAAACTTGAAAACTATAAAATAGGCATTCGACTCAAAAAAATACGGTAATCTAGTCTGTTTTATTTTCAACAAGGTCATGTTTTCCGCGCTCGTTGTTTTGGAATTTTTCGAAGAGGGAAATTGACTGAAAATGAGGGGAAAAAGGGGAAAGAAGGGGTGGGGGAAAAGTTCAAGCAGACGATTGGGAAAGAAGAGTGAAGAAAAGAGGAGCAGTTTGTATGGCAAATGACCTATAGGAAGAGAGGGGGAAAGATTCTCTCACTTGAAGAGAGAAGAGATGGAGGACACTATAGGAATCATAGGTGGAGAGGAGAGTGGGGGGCAACGGGGGGAGGGGAAGGGGCCCGGGGGGCCGGGTGGGTAACTTGACCGCGACGACCCACTAATTGGCGGGGCCTAGGGGCTCTCTAGCCCTCACCTAGCCCCACAAAACTAATATCTTTGCCACTTTGTACGATTGATTTACTAGTTAGCTAGTTTACTAGTTAGCTGTTCACTAGTTAGCTAGTACACTAGTTAGCTAGTACACTAGTTAGCTGTTCACTAGCTAGCCAGTTTACTAGTTAGCTAGTACACTAGTTAGCTAGTACACTAGTTAGCTAGTACACTAGTGAGCCAGTTTACTAGTTAGCTTTTACTTGATTAGCTTGATTCTCTTGAATCGGCTACGATCGAGGATCCGATACAAAGATCAAGAATTGGTTAAACTACTGTTTAAGCACTACTGTTTAAGGACATCTGTGTAATCTGATTCTGACGTTGACTTTTACAGGATTTTAGCTCAATTTAATCCTCTAGAGTCCTATAATATGCCTTTTTGACCTGCCGTTTTCTCTTTCCAATATAGGGTTCACCCTTTCCCTTTCTCCCGGCTGTCCACTCAACCCACGAGATATTACGAGCGGATTTCGATCTCTCGACCCCGTCCCCTTTACCCTTTTTCATTCTGTGCCTCTTTTCACTCCTCGTTACTCATATCTCATATGCTGAGGGGTGTAGTTATGGCGACTCAGCAGGAACTCAGAGAATCTCGACTACAAGTGCTCATCTCTCATTTTGCCAGCTTACCTTGATCTGATTAGTTTTTAGATGTTGCGTGTTTAAGCTTGGATCAAAATTCAAGATATTCATTGATAAGTTGTGACGTTTTTTTAAAGCTTTCATTTAGCTTTAGCTTCAGCTTTCCTTGATTCATTTTTTATCTAAATTTCCCTGATAATTTCGATCATTCCAAGTTCTAAGTGCTTTAGGGATAAATCTCACCATTTTCCTAGGTTCTGCCCTTTCAAGATACCCTTCATTGCTTCATTTCCTAGCTTTTCAGTCAGTTTTATTTGGGAGAGGGATGGGAAAACAATTTGTGGAGAAGATGGGGAGAGGAGAGCGAAATGGAAAAGAGAGGGGTGAGAAAAGGTGAAGAATATGACCCCGTCCGCCCCATGAACACATTTCATCTCCCCTTTTCATCCATTTCCTTCATCTTTTGATCAAATATTGTTAGGTCAAAGCTTTTATCGGTGGAAATCTTCGAAAACAATGATCGTTTTCTTTCTTTCTTTTGGCTCAGCCATTAGCTAAGCCTAAAGTCCATTGGCTAAGTCTAAAGTTCACTGGCTAAGTCTAAAGTTCATTGGCTAAGTCTAAAGTTCATTGGCTAAGTCTAAAGTCCATTGGCTAAGCCTAAAGTCCATTGGCTAAGTCTAAAGTTCACTGGCTAAGCCTAAAGTCCATTGGCTAAGTCTTTTTACACTTTAAAATTGTTCATTTAGGGTTTTATATTTATATTCTAGCTTTAAAGCTATCTTCTAGCTTTATAGCTTTGTTCTAAACCTTTTTTTTCAATATCTCTTTTCAGTTAGCTCACAATGTGATGAGTGGCCGACCGGCTGAGTGCCTTCCTTCGCAAAGAGATGTCGGAGAGCTTTGCGTTGTTTGTGGTCAGTTCTCAAATCATTCTATTATAGGAGAGGCTTTTTGATTAGCTTTAGATTCGCTTTTAATAGATTAACAAAAGAATAGATAAAAGCATTATCGAAAGCCGTCGATTTCAGGCGATAAGGCAAGTGGTCGACACTATGGAGCGGTTTCGTGTGAGGGATGTAAAGGTTTCTTCAAGCGATCTATCCGAAAACAGGTTCCGTATGCACATCAGAATTTCAAGTATCGCTTCAGTATCTTCAGATTGGATACCAATGCCGGAGTAGCAAGGATTGCCCGGTGACGAAATTCCATCGCAATCGCTGCCAGTTTTGTCGCCTCAAGAAGTGTCTTGCAATGGGCATGAGAAGTGAATGTGAGTGGGATTTTTCAAATAGATAGACTTAAAACCTAGATATTCAATATAGCTATTGATTTTAGCTGTTCAAGCCGAGCGGCGACCGATGGGCGGAGCTGGCTCATCTCCACCAACAATGGTGCCCACCCCACCAGCCACTCATACGCCGGTAATAACTTTAGAAAGATATTAAAGATAAAGATAAAGATAAAGATAAAGATGAAAGATAGAAAGCCATTATTTTAAAGACTTAATTCTTTCAGGTTCTCACCACGAATCATTTCATGAATGGATTGCTGGCCATCGCAAAGACCGAACACGAGAAGCAACACGATCACGATAATGGTTCGGGTTTTAGAGATATAAAAGTATTAGATTAGAATAGTATTAGATTATTATTCTACAATAGATAAACAGTATTTTATAAAACAAATTTAGATCATCGTCGAGAAGAGGATTCCTCTGAATGCCGTTCTTCATCACCGATGTCAAGAGCTCGATCAGCTAGCCCAGAAACCTTTGTTTCCCTCAAAAGAGTGAGTTGATAAAAAACGAATAGATTCTTATAGATCATTTTATATTCTATATAAAGTACAGTAAAATTCTTTGCAATTAGTCTATAAAGCTGGAAATTGTCAATCTGTAAAGCTGTCAATCTGTCTAGAGCCTGGCTGGAGCCTGGCTGGAGCCTGGCTGGAGCCTGGCTGGAGCCTGGCTGGAGCCTGGCTGGAGCCTGGCTGGAGCCTGGCTGGAGCCTGGCTGGAGCCTGGCTGGAGCCTGGCTGGAGCCTGGCTGGAGCCTGGCTGGAGCCTGGCTGGAGCCAAGAATCCTGGCTGAAGGCAAGAGTTAGATTTGAAACATTATTAGATTACATTAGGCTACTTTATCGCGTGCTAAAGCTTTCTTTTCTTGTTAAATCATTGAATAAGTCTTTTTCTAGGAATCAATCGGTGAAGATGAGTCTGGTGTGGATGTCGGTTCATCAGTTTGCCTTGGTGTCGCCCCATCAGATTCTCCATCTTCATCAGGAGCCGCTTCAAGTTCACTTTCCGATGATCTTTGCGTACCAATCTTCAATCTTGGTCTGTTAAATGATTTCAAAACTCTTATCTCAACGATTTTCCTTGCAGATCGTGTCCGTTTCGAGTTACCAGTACCAATTCCGGCTCCATCCGAGCTGAACATTCAATACATTTGCGAGACAGCTTCTCGTTTACTTTTCCTTTCCGTTCATTGGATGAAAAACGTGAAAGTGCCTTTAAAGTAAGGGAAATTTGTTTGATAATAAAGGAAAATCTTTTTCTCTTCAGATCTTCTACAATAGAGGTGTTGATGAAAGCGAAATGGTGTGATCTCTTCATTATTGGATTGGCACAAACAGCTGGACAGGTAGAAAAGGTTTTAAATTAAACTAGTATTAAAAAATAAACTAGTTTTCAAAATCTAATTCTTCAGGTGGGACTTTCGCGAATGTTGGACGCGATGAAAAACCATTTGGCTGCCTGTGCTCGTTTGGGACAATTGAAAGCCGAGAAATTTGAGGATGTGAGTCAAAGTTAATCTCGCTAAATAGCTGAATACCTTATTTCTAAAGCCAAATAACTAATCCTAGAAATCCTTTTCAGGTAGCCGGTCAAATCACTCGTCTTCTTCATTTCGTCGCCAAGGTCGAATCATTGCGCCTTTCCCCGCAAGAGTTCGCCTACTTAAAGTTGATCGTCTTCACCGGAAATGGTTGGTTTCAGAAAAGCTTATAGACTAACTAGTTAACATTTAAAGGGAATGTTTAAATCCAAGACCAAAACCAAGATCAAAACCAAAACCAAAACCAAAACCAAGACCAAATCCAAAATCAAAACCAAGACCAAAACCAAGACCAAAACCAAGACCAAGACCAAAACCAAATCCAAAACCAAAACCAAGACCAAAACCAAGACCAACACCAAGACCAAAACCAAGACCAAAACCAAATCCAAACTTTCAGACGCTCCCACGTGCTGGGGACTAATCGAGAACGAGACTCGAGCGATCAACCGAACTGCTTGCAATGAGCTCTACGAGTTTTTGACAACAATGTGGTGTACAGGTTGGTTTTTGGGGAAAGGACGGGAATCTGTCCAATATTGAAACCATTATCCATCAATAAATTGCAGGCGATGATTCCTTATCGGAAGATCCAGATCCAACATCGAGTCCCTCGATGACTTCGACGGTTGACCGCTTCTCGCAACTCTTGCAACTGATCGGTGGACTGCGGTATTTCAAGGTTTGCATTGAACACTTGCTTTATAAACAAATACAGCTTAGAGTTAGATACTTAGCTTCAGCTTCAGTTATCTTTGAGTTCCAAAAGTTTGAGTTTTGAGTTTTTCGTATTTCATCTTTTATTCAATCTTTTTCAAAGCGCCTGTACTTTCAAAAGTGTGTCTTTAATACGATTACAGTATTCACGACAAGATACTGTAACTTTCTAGCAGTTCAGCATTCGTAGAATCGATAAACTTGTTAACACTTGTCAACATTTTACATAAAAAATCTTTTCCAGGAGGCCGTCTTGGTCGAGTTGTTCTTCTCGGGTCTGATCGGCAGTCTTTCCATTGAGACAGTCATCCCATTTGTACTCAAAATGGACGTAATGGCCGTTTTCGAGTCTTCATCTACTTCATCATCTTTTTCTTCATCCTCATCATCAGATTCAATTCATCCGTCAAATGTCCCCAACTTGGCCACAATGTTGGCCACAAAGTAATGCTTGTTTCGAGAAAACCCTTGTCAAAAAGAAAAACGTAAATCGACCGTTTTCTAAAAGGTGCAAAAGCTACCGTATTTCAGCCTTTTGGTGAAAAATTTGCCTAGCTTAAGCTTTGTTTAGTCTGTTTTCATCAAGGACTACGGTATCTTCCCCTAACTAGGGAACTCACTGACTGACTGAACTGAATGTTTCAAATTACCAACGATTTTCGAAACGCCGATTTAGCCATTTAGCAAGCAAAACTAGCACCGAGTTTTCGATTTGGAAAACGCCTCCGTAGAATTCTAAGACCCACATATTTTTTATTTTTTGTATTGCTGATTCTGGAGAAAAACGTTTTTTATACTTGAAATAAAAAAGCAAAGAATTTGGCGGCTAGCGGAATTGAACCTGCGCCCATAGGACTTAGAGTCTCACATACTATCCTCTAGACCATCTGTGCTCTTGGGAGGGGTCGTCGTGGCGTCCTGTTATAGAAAAGATCGCGGTTTGGGGTCTCTTCTATAAGAAAGTTTGGTTTGGGGTTCTAGGTTTCTTGTTTCGAAAATCGTTGATAATTTACAGTTCCCTAGCGCACCTTTTAGCAAAGGACACTAATCGATTGTCGTTTTTCTATTTGTACACCAATTGTATCGTATTGACAAGCGTCTTCAAGTGAACAGGCTTCGTCGGCTAGTAAAGCGTTGAGTAAAACGTCATTGAGTAGATCATTTTCCCATCATTAACACTTGCCAATTTCAACAACAATTTTTGCTATATCTGTACATAGCTTTTCCTCAATGAATTTCCCAAAAAAAAGAAGAAGAGTACACTTTCTTTGCTGCAATATTTCCGATCAAAAAAAGAAATGTTTATTTTATTTGTTTTTATGTGAATTTCTCGATGACAGTGCTTTCAGAAGGAATCAAAAAACGATCAAAAAATCAAATTTCGATTAGATTTTATCAAATTTTATATAGAATATATAGAATTTTTCCAATTTTTCCAATTTTTCCAATTTTTTGATAGAAACCCTCCCGCGTGTCTCTTTTTTTTTTACAGATTAGTTATCATTTTTTTTTTCTTTTAGCAAATTCTTATATATATATATTCGGTTTTTCCGGTGTCTTTTCCTTTTTCTCCTAGAATGTCTTTCAAAAAACGATTTTTCAGTGTTTCAGTGTTTCCGAGTTTCAGTGTTTTCAGAGTTGTTTCTTTTTAAGCAAAGCTTTTTGCTTGTGTTACAAAGCATAGATTTTATCAAAAAAAAAAAACCCTTTCACTACTCAAAAAATCTTTCATAAACTCTCAATTTTTTTTTTCGTAAATAAATTTGTAAGTAATTTGTTAATTTGTAAATTTTTCGGGGCAAGTCATGGATCAAAGCTTTAGCTTTTTATAAGCCCTTTTTATGCCGTAAATACTGTAATAGTACCCCACCCGTACAGTCGTACAGTACAGTCGCTTAGTCGCAAAAGTTTTTTTAGTATTTCATTTTTTTCAAAGTGCCCATACTTTCAAAAAATGTGTCTTTGGTATCAAAAAATAGCCCTGACTTTCAGCTATTTTTTGATACCAAAGCGCGCATTGTAGCATAAAGGAGTGGCGAGAAAAATGCGTTTAAAGTTAGTCTACGCGATGCTCCGACCGTCATTATAGGGAAGCGTAGTCGCAAAACTTTTTTAGTATTTCATTTTTTTCAAAGCACCCGTACTTTCAAAAAATGTGTCTTTGGTATCAAAAAATAGCCCTGACTTTCAGCTTTCATTTGATACTTAAGCACACACTGTAGCATAAAAGAGTGGCGAGAAAAATGCGTTTAAAGTTAGACTACGCGACGCTCCGACCGTCATTATGGGGATGGGGTACTATTACAGTATTTACGGTAACTCTATATATTCCCATGATTTTTAGATAAGATTTTTCTGGGTTTATTGCCTTTTTCTTGTCTCGGACTTCTATGGAATACCAATTCTTTTCGTATGGAAATTCTTCTGAAATCAAAAGCTTTTTCTTTTCTTAGACATCGCTAGCTTTTTAAGGTTTTTGTTAGTGATTTTCTCTCTCATTTCATTGTGTTTTTTTTCGAAAAATGCGCACAACAAAATCTATGTGCAAATTTTGTCAAAAAGAACCCTGAAAACGATCAAAAATCTTATTGTTTTTTAATTGATTGTTTGCTTTTTTTTTCTTCAAAAATCTTTTTTTTTTGCTGTATTTTTGTGGAGTCTTTAATAAATTGTCGAATATAATTTTTTTTTTTTTTTTCGAAATTCAAATAACATTAAATACAATGGATGAAATTGAGACAGATAAACAAAATGAATTTAATTAATTTCCTGAAAGTCGTAGCCATCCATGGAGATCGGTTGGGCAGGACGAGCGGCTGGTGGACGATCGGCTGAGCGGTTGGGCAGGACGATCGGCTGAGCGGTTGGGCAGGACGATCGGCTGAGCGGTTGGGCAGGACGATCGGCTGAGCGTCTTCACCTAGTTATATAGCATAATACATTGCAAATTAGAAATAGTGAACTCCTAAATATCTGGAAAATGGATTAGGAAATTATAAAATCAAGAGTTCTAAAGCAACTCAAGCATTAACCATTTTCGAATCGTATTCTCCAACTTTCCACTAATAGAAAACTCCATCAAATTCACCTCGACAAAGCAGTAAAGAAGAAAAATCTTTTACAAATCTTGTCGTTAAAGTTTGATTGAAAAGCATTGGTTCCTTGAGAAAGCTCATGCCAAAATCGGCATCGAAATCGGCATGAACTCGAACATTAATGATAACAATTCCAGGTGAACAACTAATGATGTTTGAGTGAAATAATAGGCTGATAGTACCTGTATATTGTCAATGAACTTTCTAATCAATATCGAGATACTTATTGCTCGATTTACAATGCGCGCGGCGCTCCTATCGACTACCTCCAAATGGCGGCGACGTCAATTGGAATGCGACGTCGCGCAAAAATTAGCATTTGGTTCAACGTCTTTTCCAATCCAACATGGGTGAAATATAAACATCATCACATTTTATTGCCTCAAAAGTGTGTACAGCAAAGACAACACAAAGAGCAAAGCAGATCGAGCTTTCGTACCGCCGTTGCCCCCGTCCAGTTCCGTGCTCTCAGTTGCATTATCATCTATAATGTTTTTTGAAAATTTTGTGTATATACACTTTAAAATGTTATAGCTTAAACTATAAATTTCCCACGAAAGCCCGTGATCATGGTGGCTGGAAGAATTGTAGACGTCGTGGTCATGGTGGCTGGAAGAATTGTAGACGTCGTGGTCATGGTGGCTGGAAGAATTGTAGACGTCGTGGTCATGGTGGCTGGAAGAATTGTAGACGTCGTGATCATGGTGGTTGGACGAATTGTAGACGTCGTGATCGTGGTGGCTGGACGAATTGTAGACGTCGTCGTGCACACGTCGCTTGTGTCCATGTTCAAGTTGCACCCATAGCCCGAGCAGCAGCATGACTTGAAGGCGTAGCCCGAGTCCGGATCGTGATATTTCGTGCAACCGTTCGTGTATTTTGGACAGCTGCTCGACGAGGCGCAGAACTGAGACTCGGAAGTCGTGTTGTAGATCTTGCCGTCGCTTGCGCAGTTGAACTCGGCCGTGCTGAAATTTTCGTGTAACATGCACAATCGCTCATTCTTGGTTTTTCAGTTAATTATATATAAAAAACATGTTAATTCAAGTAACCAGAAAAGCATTTATAAGTTGACAGTTAGTTAATAAGTTGACATTGAGGAACATTTCAAAAAAATTTCCAAAATTTGAAAGCAATTCTGCTATATGGATTGAATTTGTGTTTTTCCTATAGTTGAATAGAAGTCGAGACTGGATGGGTTTTCCTTTTCCATTTGTATTTCTTACCGTATGTTTTCTATGATTATAATACAATCTATATACAAATCTGTCTGTCTGTTTGTCTGTCTGTCTGTTTGTCTGTCTGTCTGTTTGTCTGTCTGTCTGTCTGTCTGTCTGTCTGCCTGCCTGTCTGTCTGCCTGCCTGTCTGTCTGTCTGCCTGTCTGTCTGTCTGTCTGTCTGTCTGTTTGTCTGTCTGTCTGTCTGTCTGTCTGTCTGCCTGCCTGTCTGTCTGCCTGCCTGTCTGTCTGCCTGCCTGCCTGTCTGTCTGTCTGTCTGTCTGTCTGTTTGTCTGTCTGTCTGTCTGTCTGTCTGTCTGTCTGTCTGTCTGTTTGTCTGTCTGTCTGTCTACCTGTCTGTCTGTCTGTCTGTCTGTTTGTACCGGCATTTTCCGTGTTTTGACCAAACTTCTTTAGGAAACTTTAGAATAGATTGTAGTTGTGCCATTTGAAAGAAAAAATTTTAAAGTCAAAATTGAGCGGCACCACGGCGGTCGAACTCGACTCATGTGCGCTGTAGACAAGCGCCCTCCCGACTGCGCCACGACGATCCAAAAGATCCAGCCAGAAAACCCCGACATTACGCGGGTTTTTCGGCTGATAACAAAATATACGATGTAGTAGCAAATTTTTAAAAAAACTTGCATACATCTTGCAAAAGCTGTAAGACGACGAGAGCCGGCTGCAGTCTTGGTACTGTGAATCTGCGAAAGAACTTTTGTTATGCAATTGAGAATTTTTTACCCGGATACACGCCAACATAACAATAAATCGCAGAAACGCTTGAGATCAGAGAAACAGCCACGATTGAATAGGCCCACACTTTGGGGGACTCGTTGTGATCTGACAAAAAGCGATCGTGCTTCTAGTTTCTATGAAAGAGCTCTGATAAAGGATGCTTCATTTTTTAGCTTCCCTTTTGCTTAAGAATAGAGAAAACAAATTTACGAGGCGATAAAACCGATGCTTTCGGCAATAAACGAGTTTTCCATGTTTCTTTCATTGATAAAGTGCAGAAAGGAGAAATCTAAAGTTGTAGTGTTGAAATATCTGAAACAAAACTTGAAATTTGTGTTTTAATTGTGTTTTTTTCATTATTGATGCTTTAACTTGTCTTTTGAAGATGGAATGGTCCCAGTTGAAAATCAAAAGATTACTTCTTGGCTTGTGCCTTTTCTTGCGCGATAAAAAGCCCTGATTCCATTTCTTTTCTTTCACAAAAACCGCTTATTGATTATTGCAATTCGAATTCTAAAATCTAGTGAAATGCGTAAAGAAGAGATTTCAAAATTACTGTAAAATGGATGATGTAAAACTGTAAAATGGATAATGCGTGGATTTTCGAGCTTTGCACAGGGGGCACGGTGATTATTGCGTGTTTTAATTGTTTTTTTTTATTATTGATGCTTTACCTTGTTTTTTGAACATAAAATTGTTTTTTTCATTATTGTTTAATTGTTTTTTTTTCATTATTAGTGCTTTAACTTGTCTTTTGAACATGGAATGGTCCCAGTTGAAAGTCGAAAGATTACTTCTTGGCTTGTGCCTTTTCTTGCGCGATAAAAAGCCCTGATTCCATTTCTTTTCTTCCACAAAAACCGCTTATTGATTATTGCAATTCGAATTCTATAATCTAGTGAAATGTTTGAAGAAAAGATTTCAAAATTCGAGCAAAACTGTAAAATGGATGATGCGTGGATTTTCGAGCTTTGCACAGGGGACACGGTGATTATTGCGGCAACGAGCGAGAATGTTCTCGAAATTCAGTGCACTGAGGCGAAATTTCTCCAGGTTAACTTTCATCGTATTCTTGGAAAAAAGAAAAAAAGAAGATTAGAATTAAAAGGAAGAAAAGAATTAAATTTAAGGGCGCCCGAAGCTCTTTGATTGGCTTCTTCGAGAAACTGAATGCAATATTGCCAGTTATGAGGTGATTTGATTGGATCACTTTTGTTACTTGTAACTATTGGGTTGATGTTGATCACGAAACACATGTTTTTAGCCTAGGTTTCTGCACGGAAAACTAACGAAACGTGAAAACAGCCATTTTTTGTTTTTTTGGCTCTGCCGCCCTTTACTAAAATAGCTGTAAAAACTTTTAGAAAAGAGATATCTCAAAACGGTTTTTACCAATCGATCCGTCTTGAATTCAGCTTTAGGATGAGCTATAAAACGTCAAAATTGAACAAATTTAAGGTACTCTCCCAAAAAATCGGAAAGGACTTTTCCATCAACCCAATAGAAACGATACTTATCGGTTATACCCCCGGCATGGCATAAATCTATCATCCTCTTGATATAGCACTACTGTAAATACTGTAAAGACTCCTGTAAATACTGTAAAGATAAAGAACAGCCCCCTATAGGAGCGTCGCGTAGTCTAAGTTTACTCTCAAACAAACGCTTATATCTCGATACCAGTACGTTTGTTTCTGCTCGCTTAGGTATCAAATTAAAGTAGAGAGGATGGGTGATTTTTTGAGATATAACACATATTTTTATCATTAACCAGCGCTTAGAAAAAAATGATTGAAAAGTGGCGAAAAAGAGTTGATAACTTTGGAAATTTGACTGACTGTTTACAGTTAATTTATGAATAAACTTCATGCAATAACCTAAAAATCATGAAAAAAACTGGATCATCTAATAAAGAAGTGAAGGTATTGGCAAGAAAAAGTAGATTTTCGAAGAGGGGATTGAGCTGTCGACCTTTTTAGCTTTGTCATTGAGCTAATAAGGAAAGAATGATTGGGTCCCGTCGCCTTTTCCGATGATATATAGAAAATTCGACGCAGAATTTTACGCTAATTCCAGGGATGTAAAAATTAGATGCCGAATGGCACGTAATCACCGCCAAATTGGCATAAAAGTTTTGAACCTCTCCTTTTAAGCTCATTGTAAGCTTACAGGCCCGAGCTGCAAGACACTCAAGGAGTTTCAGAAGAATCAAAAGAAGAACCAGAGTCAATCAAAGTTGAAAAGACGGAACCTGTTTCTGAAAGTACTTTGATAAATCTGATTTTGAAATGACAGCTTTATTCTTAGAGTTTACAATCACGAAACGGCTTGGTGGTGGTGCATACGGTGATGCGCATCTTTTAGAGAGCGAGATCAGGTAATCAACAAGTTTTTTTTTCTGCTTTCATAATGTTCTTTAATCTGTATTATTATTGTTTCAGAAAGATTGTGATGAAGACATTCAAAAGCTACGACGATTATCTATCACTGACCACTGAATTGATGATAATGAAAGCTCTTTGCCATGCGAACATTGTTCGCTATCTAGAGGTGCCGGATGGTTTCGAGTCACCGGACGACTATTGCATTTTCACTGAATACTGTGCTCATGGATCGTTGCGTGAAGGTTTAAGATCCAGATGGAATATAGTAGACTTCGGAAAACAAAACTTAACCAAAACCAAAACCACCAAAACAAAAACCATAACAAAACCAAAACCAAAACCAAAACCAAAACCAAAACCAAAACTAACCAAAACTCGCCAATATCTCGCGACTGGGAGGAGCTAGCGAAAATCTGTTTGCAGATTTGAAATCAGCGTCCAAAAATCTATCCCATAGGCTATTTTTTGTTTCGAAATTTCGAGGTCGTGTTTTGGTCCTTTTTTCGGCCGCGAGATTTTGGGGAGTGAGAAAAAGCGAAAGGTAAATTTGCATTTTACATTCAAATTTGCATTTTACAATTTTAAATTTACATGTTAATTTATATGCAAATTGAGTTTTGGTTTGTTTTGGACCTGTTTTGGTTTCGGTTTTGTTTGCCGAACTCTAGAATATAGTAATGAGATTTTTAGTTTTAAAGAACCCAACGATCACGTACACGGTGGCAACGATAGCTCTTTGGTCGGAGCATCTATTCTCTGGACTCTTTCATTTGCATTTCAAGAATTTAGTACATTGTGATTTAAAGCCAGAGAAGTGGGTTTATAAAGTAAAAGATCTTAAAAATAAATAAAATACACGTTAATCTAGTCAAAGAAGTATTGAATATAAGGCATTTTTTTAGTATAATGATCGCAAAGCATTTTGTTCTGAAAATTGGAGATCTTGGTAGTGTGGCAGAGCTTCCACGCGGTGAACCGATGCAATTATTTAGACCAGGAACCCCCGGTTACATAACGGCTGAAGCTGAAAATGGATTTGTCCGTTTTTAGATTAACAATTATATTAAGAGAGATTTTTTAGGTTGATTTCAACAATGATATCTACAGCTGTGGCATCATTTTGTGGGAAATCGTGGAGCGGAGGTAGAATGGAAAACTTGAAAAACTTGAAAGAAAGTGCTCAATTCAGAAAAATGGTTTATGGGAAACGAGCCGAAGAGATCGTGCTCAGCAGCTGTCCAATTGTGCTTGAAGAGCAGATAAAGAAGTGGGGAACTTCGTTGAAACTCTAACAAAAAAGGTTTTAGTTGCTGTGCCTTGGATGGAGCAAAAAGGCCGAATGCGAAAGAAGCGCTCGAGTTTGCGAAACTGCTGAAAATGGTTGGCTTAAAGGAAATACAGTCATGGACAAAAGCTTACCTATTGGGTTGATGGAAAAGTCCTTTCCGATTTTTTGGGAGAGTACCTTAAATTTGTGCAATTTTGACGTTTTATAGCTCATCCTAAAGCTGAATTCAAGACGGATCGATTGGTAAAAACCGTTTTGAGATATCTCTTTTCTAAAAGTTTTTACAGCTATTTTAGTAAAGGGCGGCAGAGCCAAAAAACCAAAAAATGGCTGTTTTCACGTTTCGTTAGTTTTCCGTGTAGAAACCTAGGCTAAAAACATGTGTTTCGTGATCAGCGTCAAAAAATCGGAAAGGACTTTTCCAAACGAACAACCCAATACTTTACCTCTACCAAAATCAGCTTTTAAAACGCGAAATTTTTCAACTTTTTAACAAGTTTTAAAAATTGTTTCTGAAGTATTTTATAGCATTTTTACTCTAGTTTCATATCCCATAACCAAAAGAAATAACAATCTATTTCAAGGAACAAAAAACGACGTTAAAAAAAACCCTCAAAACAGGTGGACAAAAGGCTTTACCCCTAGACCAAAAAGTGAGAAAAAAACCGAGGATTTCCATATTCTCGTTCCTCGTCCAACTTTCGTAAAAAGTTGAAAAGGGGTAAAGACTTTTGTTCACCTGTTTTGAGGGGGTTTTTTTTTAACGTCGTTGTTTTTTGCTTGAAATAGATTGTTTTCTCTTTTGGTTATGGGATATGAAACTAGAGTAAAAATGCTATAAAATACTTCAGAAACAATTTTTAAAACTTGTTAAAAAGTTGAAAAATTTCGCGTTTTAAAAGCTGATTTTGGTAGGGGTAAAGACTTTTGTCCATGACTGTATGTACGAAGTTTCCATTTCTTTTTTGTTTGAATGATTCAACTTTAGTTGTTGGCTTAAGTCTTAAGAAAAAAAAACCTAAGAGGATGGCTACTTTGCGCCAAATTTTTTTTGCGCAACTCGCCATAACTTTCGTCTAATTGGACCAATCTTTATGATTTTGGTGTCATTTTGTAGATCTCAATAAGTGTAACAAAATGACACCAAAATCATAAAGATTGACCGACTTGGAAGGAAGTTATGGTGATCTGCGGAAAAGACCTAGTTGTGCAAATGACCCAGTTGCGTAAAAAATTTTGCGCAAAGTAGCCACCCCCCAAAACTTAAGCCTTAAGCTTTCCAGCTGGTAAAACTTTTGGAGATGTTCTTTATGAAGATGGCGATGTTCTTTCTTCTTCTTTCTTCTTCTTTCTTCTTCTTCTTTCTTCTCCTTTCTTCTCCTTTCTTCTTCTTTATGTTCTTTTCAGCACTTCGTCGAGTTCTCGGATTTGCCTAGAATCACTCCAGAGAATGAGAATAGTGTTTTGATGAAAGCGATTGGTTTAGACGGAACGGAAAATTTTTGGCCTGTGGAAGATAATGGAAAACTTAAGTCAACAACGGTTTGCTTTAATCGATACCTCTAGAAAGTAATGTGAACTCTAGGAAGATGAAATCTGGATTATCGATGCGGATTTATCAGAGGTAAGGTTTTATATAATTTAGAATTCATAAATTCTATATAATACAATACAATTCAGTACATGCATTTGTGTTTAGTGCGGGGGAAGCTCTGTGCCGGGTTCTATATAATACAATACAATTCAGTACATGCATTTGTGTTTAGTGCGGGGAAAGCTCTGTGCTGGGTTCTTCACATTTTCACGATTCTAAGCAACAAAGCGATGAGAATCATGTTCAACATTCTAGAAAACAAAATAATCTGAACGAAGTTGTCGAGGTAATTATAAATATTCATGAATCACATCGTTGGCCAACTGGTTATAGATAGCTAAGAGAAACATTAGTCATCTTTTCAACATTAGTCACCTTTTCAGAACAATCCCGAGCTTGGCTTTACATCTATGTCAGTCCCCGATGCCACATTTTTTTCAAATCCAAAAACAGAACAATATCAAGCAAAGGATACAACTGTGGAATTGATCAAAAACGCTTGGACTTCAATAAAAGAAAGACTCGAAAGTGAAACAATTTTCGATGAAACGTTTAAAAAGAACCCATTTGATTCTGAGCTTCAAGGACCAGGAATTGATGATCGATCGAGAAAAGAGCTTGCAAGAGAGCTTCTGAAAGAATTTGAACAACTCTCAGAGCCTGAAAAAGTTGCTCTATCAAATCGAATGCTCATTTTAATAAATGAATATCACAACAAAGTCAATTCCGATGTCGGACTAAAGGAGAGATATTTTTCCCACCAAAAGATGACCGCTTATATTACTTGGAAAAACTCTTTGAAGTCATCTTGTTATTCGATGCTCATTCGCACTTTTTCTGCATCATTTTCTCGATTGATATTCTGGAGACTTTAAATCAAAATCTCACGACACCCTGGGAAGCTATTGAATTGATCAACATTGCGATCAATCACCTGGAAGAGTTGAGGAAGATATTTTCTTGTCGGCTGTACTTTCAGAGGCAAATCGAGAGAAATGGGGCGGATGAGTGGTTGAGAGTTGAGTTCGAGTTGGAGAATTGCTTGACGGGGTACATCAAGCGAGACGGATCTGATGTAGGTTTTCTATTTGCTTTCTACATAAGTAAAACTTCTCATAGCTTCCCATCAATTCCCATAACTTCCCATCTTCCCATAACTTCCCATAACTTCCCATAACTTCCCATCTTCCCAAAACTTCCCATAGCTTCCCATAACTTCCCATCTTCCCATCTTCCCATAACTTCCCATCTTCCCATAACTTCCCATCTTCTCATCTTCCCATCTTCCCATAACTTCCCATAACTTCCCATAACTTCCCATCTTCCCAAAACTTCCCATAACTTCCCATAACTTCCCATAACTTCCCATAACTTCCCATAGCTTCCCATAGCTTCCCATAGCTTCCCATAGCTTCCCATAGCTTCCCATAGCTTACCATAGCTTCCCATAGCTTCCTATAGCTTCCCATAACTTCCCATAGCTTCCCATAGCTTCCCATAGCTTCCCATAGCTTCCCATAGCTTCCCATAGCTTCCCATAACTATAAGTTTATCACTTTTCATTCTAACGGAAATTGTCAAGTTGCTTGCGAAGAAGTTTACATGAATTAGCCATTTCATATGCATTCATCCTGTGCAGTGTGTAAGAGGGTACCGATGGAGCGATTATTAGATATTATTATTAGATATTTATTCCGAATATAACACAATTACTAATATAGCGAGAAAATATAATAAAATAGAATCAATCGTTGGTTCAGTGTTTCAAAGCCAAAGAAAAGCAATGCAAAAAGTCATGCAAAGTGGCCTCCGTCCCTTTGTATCACACAAAACGATCTTTAGAGGAAGGACAGGAGAATCAGAGATATTCAAAATCAATACATTAAATAAGATTTCACAGAAAAGAGCTACTTTTCTGCATTCACCCAATATAGATAACCATAAATAGTTTTTAGGTGATGCAGAACATGAACACAATCCTCGTTCCACAGAACAAAGAAGTCCGTCAACCGATGGACACCGAAACGTTGAGAACGGAGTTGAATGAGAAGAAAGCCAGAATTCAATACTACGAACGGGCAAAACAGGCTGAATCCCGGGCAACCGAATATCGAAGTTTTGAAGGATTAATGTCAAAAGAATCGGGTGCTAATCTAAAAGAGCTATTGAAAAGCTTTCCAAAATCCGAGAATATATATTTCTTTTCAAAGGGTCAAGGAAAAAACCAGCCATTTCCTGGGTATATCTTTCAATTGGATCAACCGCCAGAGCATAAATGTAAATGTGGAAGAAATTGTGAAATCGGAGGCGGATTTCCGAGAATTTCTCCTCAAGAACTTCAAATAAAATACTATAAATGTGCTAGCATTGAAGAAAGAGACTTTCTCGAGGTTTATACATGGTTTGTAAAGGTTTTCAAGTTGATGTCGACTCGTGACAGTGTACAGTTAAAGTTACCCGTTTTCGTTTTGCGATTGATCTCGGAAATTCGCCAAAAGCGGCAAACTGTTGGAGATTTTCTCTTTTTTATCACAAATGACAGAAAAAGCGATTCATTGGATCTCGATCATTTTCTTCTTCAGTTATCAAATCGAACGATTGAGTATTTCTATAGAAGGGAATCGAAAGGAAACATTGAGAAGGAGGAATTGAGTCCGTATTTGGCTCGGCTTAACATTGAAGCATTTGTTCCACTGCTCGAGGATCTTCTTTACAAAAGCTTTCATCTAGATCAAGGTAATCAAAAAGAAAAAAAGCTATAAAGGGTTATCTAAGCTAGCTATCTAAGCCACAGAAATACTTGATATCAGAATTTTCATATTTTTTAGCTATAATTTTTTTAAGTCTAATATTAATTTTAAGTCAGTTTATATAAAAAAGAATCTCTTATTTCTTCTTTAGATGACCCAGTCAAATTGGTCGAATTCCACGAGCGGGAACAGGCAAATTGGAAAACGTTTTGGGAGAAGATTGAGCTCATCGAAATGCAATTGTAAACAAATAGAGTCGATATGTTTATCATTTCGTCCAATAAATAATAGATTTGTTGCAAGCTGGACATGTGGCAAAGCAAGAAATGGTTGTAGCACCGGTAAGGACAAAAATGATTGACTAAATGCATACGACTGCCGTATTTTCTCTAATAGTAGTGCACCCTGAGCGTCGCCTAAATTGCTCGAAATCTCGATTTTTGAGTTTCGGAATCTGGAATGAGTGTCAGTTGGTTATTGCTCGAAATCTCGAGAACCGCTTATCAGAACCTATCGATGCGGGGTCGGAAAATGTAGCTGACGATGAGATTTAGTGGGGGATTTGAGTGTTGAGCTTCTGGGAAAACTTCGAAACCGTAAAATAGTCATCAACTCCGCTCGCCGGGTGCACTACTATTAGAGAAAAAACGGTAGATGGGAACCGTAGAAATAATAGCTAACCGTATAGTGAAAAAAAAATTGAAAACAGAATATAGATAGAAAAAGAAAACAGAAACAGAATACACAGTAGAAATCTAAAAATCAGTATTATGTACAATTGATTTCAATGATCTGCTAAGTGTGCTAAGTGGAAGCAAGGCATTCATTGAACATGACATGATAGTCATTGAACATCAAACATCAGACCAAATCTGTAATGTAAACTATTGCTTGATAGTGTAGCTTTGATTTGATTCTTTAATTCAACTATGACTATGAAAAGTTTCGAATTTACAACTATCGAGCTCTCTACGAATCTCTACGATCATTTCTATGGTAATACATTAACCACTCAAATTAACACTCACCATTGTTTGAAAACCTTTGCATAAAAACGAAACCAAAGCTCATATACATCATCCGGTCGACCGAACTCGAGAATCATCACCAGCTCTTTTCCCTCATTCAGCTCCATTTTCATATAAACTTTGCTCTGTAAATCCGGGTACTCTTCTCCATTTCCAATTAAGAAACTTTTCAACGATTGAAATTTCTCAAAGTTTTCCCGGTTTTTTAGGTCCCCTTTGAATCGTGCGTGGAACAGTTGAGGTCGAATCTCTTCGATCGATCGTTCAGTGCCGAGAACCCGGTCGATCCACCGGATCTTCGGGAAATGTTTGAGCCGAGTAGCGATCATTCGAAAGTGCATAATGTCATCATTTGTGAAAGCATCGTCTCCCTGAGCGGCACTTGTTGGGTTCTCTATGAGAGCCGTGAAAACCAGCACCGAATCGGGGTTTTTTCCGGGAGATCCTTGGCGGATAAGTGCCGTGATCGAGCCACTCAAATTCACGAAATCCACTGAGAATGTGTAGGACTTGGCTTTCGTTGGTGTCAACGCTGAGAAGCTCTCTCTGAAGTCATTGATGATGAAATGTTCAACATTAGATAGATTTTCGTGTTGGCACAGGGCTTCCAATCTTTGTTGCCAGTGGTTGTTGGCACTTTTCCACGGACCGAAATCGATCCGGAAGCTTTGATCAACAACTGGCGGAGTGAAATGCATGTAACCTTTAAGGAAATCTCGAAAACAAGAGATTTCGAGATGTTTGACAAATAACAGATTTGGAAGGAATTTCTTCGAGTCCAGGTATTGCAAGAGGAAAGCGATGATCTTGTTCGAATGAAACATAACCGGGTTAGAGCCAAGAGAGATCTCAAGGGTTCGACAAGAGCGAATTCTAGAGATTATCGTCTTTGAGACGTGACTTTTACAAATGTGAAGCCAGAAGTTTAGCTGATTCTTGTTGCTCTGATAGCAAGTGGCCTCAATTCGTGGCTCTCGTTTATCCAGGTAGAACCCTTGTTGAAATTCGATTGATTGAGTGAAAAATTCGAGTTCAACGAGTTCAATGAGCAGCTCTCGTTGGATCCAATCACCAAATCGGATAGAAACTTTAGAGATTTTTCTCGGCAACAAGCCGTTCGATAGATAGAATTTCTGGAGAGATTTGTTGACTTTGAATAGCTGTTCTCCTTCTTGGGGACAGACGGTTCGAAGAGCCGATTCCTGGACCTCTTTTGGAAGTAGTGCGAATGGGAATGGCATCTTGTTGGTGCTTTTAGTGAATGGAGAAAAGGAACAAAGTTCACGATGTTTCGATGCGAAAAGAGAATGAATCAATGCAGAGCTGATCTCTCTGGGTTGATCTTCCCGTCGCCTTCCGATCGAACAACAACAATCATGAATCATCGAAGAGTGCGGGAGAGGCACACTGAAAGTCATAATAATCGAAAGGGGCAAAGATCTTAATTTAGCTGATTTTAGCTTTAGCATTTTTAGCTAAGTTTTTTGTGGGTTTATTGCCTTTTTCTTGTCTCGGTCTTGTATGAATACCGTAACCACCTCACTTCGTATGCAAATTGTCCTGAAATCAGGCCTTTTTTTCCTATAAATCACAAGATTTTAGTCATCGCTAGCTTTTTGAGGAAAAGTTTATTAGTGATTTCCTCTCCCATTTCATTGTGTTCCCTCCAAAAACGCGCAGAAAAAAATCCATGTGTAAATTTCATCAAAAAGAAACCCTAAAATGTTGTTGTTTTTATCGATTGTTTGTTTTTTCAGAGGTCTTTTCGCTGTTTTTATTTTTGTGAAGTTTTTAATAAATTGTCGAATATAATATAATGCTTATTTTTCAAAATTCAGATAACACCAAATAAAACGTATCAAATTGGGACTTAGCTAAACATGGCAAATGGATTATGTACACCTTGAAGAAGTTATAAAATCGAGAGATCTAGAGATAGATTATTCAAGAATCACAAAGTTGAAGAATACCGGATTACAATATAAGGCGCTAAAGAAAAAACAAATTTGACGAACAATCACCTACAAAGATGATCCAACTTTTGTGGCTTCGACTAGTAGATCTCCCTTGTAGAAGTCAGCGCGAATCTCCAGCTAAAATAATAAAAGATAAATATTAGATTGCCAACGTGAAAGTTGATACACTTATTCATTGCACTTTTTAGAAATAACTTGTGCACCAATTAATCTAGTTTTCACCAAAAAAGCCCATTTATTCTCTAAAAGAGCTTCTTGACAGATTTATAAAGGTTTCGGTTTTGTAGGTTTCTAGGGGGCAAGAAGTTGAAGAACCAAAAGTGATGAACACTCGATGAAGCGATTTGAGCACTTTCTTCCACATAAACCCATTTTAGTGTCAATGAAAAAAGAGAGCATAACAAGTTAGATAGATCGCAAAATTTTCAGCTAAATATAAGCAATCGTTTTTGTTATAGTTCCATTTGAAGAATTTTCAGAAAAACTTGAATTTCTGCTCAAATTCGTTTCAAAAGTTCCCAAATTTGCTTAAGCCTGTCTTAAACTAGATAATATATGACTTTTATCTAGAGAAATCTAATTCAATTGGCGTATTAAATAGATTTTATGGAAAATACGAAAAAGTTGCCAATCTAATAAATTAGATAAAATTTCAAAAAGTAACACTAAAGCAATTGAGTGGTTTGTATATCGCTAAAAACTTACAACGTCTCCTTCTTCAAGTTGGATTCGTTGTGGAAAAATGAAAGCCGCAAGTCGATCATCGGCCATTTTCGAATCGTACTCTCCAACCCGCCACCAATAGAAAACTCCATCACATTCACCCGAACACGTAGTAGTTACCCTAAAAACGAAGCAGTAAAGAAAATTCTTTTTTTACAAACCTCGTCGTTAAAGTTCTGTTGAAAAGCATCGGTTCTTTGGGAACGCTCATGTCTAGATTTCCATTCATCGCAATCGGCATGAACTCGAACGGTTCGGATATCTAAAAACCATTGAAGACTTATTTGCTACAAACAATACCGCTGTGTGAGGGAAATTGGTCAGTGAAATGTCCCTGTATTCGAACAAAGAAAAGGGCGATAGAGGACTCAAATCAAACCCAAGATGACTAGCAGGATCTAAATAAAGAGATACAATTCAATAAATTATTGAGCACATTTGAAATAGAGTCAAAGCTTACATGGTCTTGTCCGTTGATGTAACCATGTAGAAGAGACGAGTTGTCCAACCGCAATAACTATTGATGGAACCACTTCAGCCATAGGTGCGTAACCCTAAACAGAAATCCTCAGGGAAACGGAAAATTACCAACTCTTGCCGTAGCAACCCAGTCAAGCGCCATTTTGTTTAGAGTTCCATCAGTTCGTAGCGGCCAATGCACAATCACATCTTGTTGTCCTTAAAGAGTTCAATTAATATAAACTTTTATAGTCATACCGGGTAAAGGAGCCACCATGACATCGGCTGAAAGTTGTGAAGAAATCAATAGCAGAAGGTTTTCTTCAGGTTGACATATCGAAAGTTCCACGTTCGGTCGTATCGCTTTCAACCTACAAAAGAACAAATAGATAACCAAGGCTATCACTTACTTTAAACAAAAAGAAGCTATTGAGGTGAGGTCATGAATTCGAGTAGCATTTGACGGAATTGAAGACAATAAATAGCTAAAGGGAAATTTGTAAAGTAAAAATAAAAAACTCACTCTTGAATCCCCAAGTTATTCAGTAAAAGTACTTCGCTATTCTCGGAAACGACAAACATAGGGACAGGTAGGTCATCCTAAACAATTCATTAAAGTCGAATGATATCAATATTACTTTTTCATTAGTATCTTCGTCAAGTTTTATCTCAAGCCTTGTTGCACCACCGCTCAAAGTCCATCGGATATCCACCTAAAAATCGTGTTTCTGCAAAAATTTTAAGGCAAACCGTCTCTCCTTCATCGAGATTTAAAGCTTTTCGCAAAGGATAGATTCCATTCGGCCAACAAGAGTCTCCTTTCGTGTCAATAGAGGCATTACCATAAAGATTTGCACTGAAAAAACAATAAATATGCAAAAAGTGTCAACCATACCTAAACGAGGCGACAAGTGCATGCACTAACGTCTTCGATTTGGCTTTGAGCGTTAACCTTCCTTCCGCACCTTCGTCAACCAAAAAACTCAGCTCCTAAAATTTTATTGTTGCCTTTAAAACTTAGAAATCTTTAAACCTCTGGTCTTGTAAAATTCACGCTAATCACTTCCACCCAATCAGATTGAATTTTGGCGTCGGAAAAATCGTTTAGATAGCCACACCAATAGGGATCCCTATCTAAAAAGAAATATAAAATTATTTAAGTTTTGAATGAGAACCGTCGGAATGCAAAAATCCTTGTCCTTCCATATTTACATAAGGAGAGCACACTGTATTCTCTCCAACTTGGCCCACATGATTCGAATGAATTGAAGCAGACGAGAGTAGAGCAATGTAAACGGAAGTCTGAATTTCACTGCTGAATCGTCTTGATCAAATTTATATCGATTTGTTATTTTGAAGTATTTGAAAACTTTAAAATCAACCTGTTGAGGGATGAATAAAGCGCCAGCTGCAGCTACTCTTTGATGCGCGTCTAAAATGGCCCCCACTGTTCCTTCTCCAAAAACACAACAATCCATCGTTTCGCTTACAATCACATTAGCCTTGAAACTTTTAAATACACTTTAATTTCATGACTCAATTTACAAAATATAATGTCAATATTAACAAACTTTTATCGGCATCTCGATCTCGAAAGAGCTCTCTTGAACAATCTCCACTCTATCCATCAGATGGTTTTTCTCAACAACCTAAAAAAATTTTCGTCGAAGCATTGCAAAAGAACAAAAACCTGTTTCGCTACTCGAGCCATGATAGGATTGTACTCACATGATGTTACTTTATTCGTGATTCTAAACACGAGGAAAATGTAATTGTTTGAAAAGCAGCCTCACTTCCCAGCAACTAGCGACAAAAGTCCTGTTCCAGCACCGATTTCAAAAACTGAATCCATTGGAGTCACCTTAAATGAAGGTTACGTTTTAAAAACATTAAATTTACCGCTGTGACAAGAGCTTCCGCAAATTTTCGATTCCTTTTCACATCGTTGATCATCGGAAAGTGCCAGGCGTCAAAAAGTTGAGATTTCTAAACCAAAATTATAAAACGAAATATAAGTTCAAAGACTTACAAAATTCGCCAAGTTCATTCGATGAGCCACCCGTTCGTTTCCCTGGGTCAACTTAATGCACGTTTCAAAGCGGTCGATCGCTTCCACGACTTCTCCTAATAATTGAAATTTATAAAGCAAATTTTGTAAAAAAAACCTCGTTGAAAAGCATCTCGAGCCACAATTTCATGAACTAACGGGGAAGTTTCGAAGAGAGCCAACGAATTTGCCCAAATATTGTGCGCAAAATTCGCATCATCGCACGTTGTTAATTGTTGAGCAAGCGCCTGGAATAAATAAAACAAATTTAATGTATAATAGAAATATGCGATTAAAATTTAAGTACTATGGTATTTAATAAAAGATTTAATGCAATAATGCAATAATGCAATAATTCAATAATTCAATAATTCAATAATTCAATAATTCAATAATGCAATAATTCAATAGTTCAATAGTTCAATAGTTCAATAGTTCAATAGTCTTCTAAAAGTTTAAATTTACCTCGGCAAATTCTGCAGCAAAATCCTCATGGCGTGTTTTCTCGGTGACGGTTTTAAGGACAACAAAGTAGTGAAAGAGAGCCTCGGAGTGGTCACCCTTTGCCGTTGCTTGACGTGCAAGATACAATGATAATCTCATTGCATTCTCTCGAAAAGATTCCTGAAAAAAAAACAAAGTATTATACCATAAAAATGATCGAAACAAGGGAGAAATAAAGCAAAATAGAGAGAAAGTGTTCAACTTTGTAAAATAATGTATGTGATCAGCTAAACAAGAGGAAATGTGGTTCAATTTTAGTTTAAAATCGTCTAGAAGTTTCAGACTTTAGAACGCTTCAAAGCGGTCGATCGCTTCCATTGAACAGTTACAACTTACAATGTAACAGAGATCCAAACGCGTTAAAATTCAATCATTTCAAAATTTCAAAACATCGCCAAAGAGATCTTTGAGATTTTGGATGACAAGAAAAGCTTAATCCCATCTCAACACAGAATCACTCTCGTGCTCTCTCTCGATCTAAATATCTCTCTCTCGATCTCCCCACACCTTCCGTCAAGAGTAGTCTGTAGTCCACACATCCAGAGCTCTCTCTCCCCCAGTTGGCTCTTCTCCAAATAACCGTGACGCGTGAGTGGATGCGGGACGGCCGTTGGCACACACAACACATGCAACTAACTCTCCCCCGATCTCGGCCCACATCAAGCCTCCTTTCCCCCCTCTCTCTTTTTTGCGTTTACCCGCTTTGTTGCATGACGCCCTAGAATCACAAAATGTAAAATCTTAGATAATAAATGTCCAAAATAACACGACAATTATCTGTCGACAATGTACACGTTTATCTGTCGTTTTTATCAAACCCCTTGCTTTGATAAGGAAAAATTGACAAGTAGCTAATTTTTCGCGAACTTTTAACTATCAACAATTCACTAATATCTTTATTGTATGATAAAGGAATTTTGATTGAATTTAATCTTTCTATCGTCTTGATAAAAAGTTGGCTTTCTATGCATCGTAAAATCGATACCGCTTCACTTTTGTTTTCGTGGCATAAAATTTCATTCTGATCAAGGAATATTTTAGGTGCTTTTAAAGAGAATTTTTTTGTCTTTGCTGTCTTCATTTTTTTTGCTTCTTCTCAAATGACATGAACTGAAAGAGGACACACAAGCCAGTCATCTTCGTGAATGATGGAGTGAGTTTTCAAGCGGGAAATTTATCGTAATTTATCAAATCGTTGAGCTTTTCTATTAAGGAAATAAAGTTAATTTTTTTTTTTAAATTTGATTTCAGGGAAGATGAACAATGGTTTTCGGAAATGGACTGGGGCCCCACCGGGGGCGAACTCGACATCCCATTGCGGGACCCCTCTCCACTACCCTATATACAGGTATGTGAACTTATAGGGTTCAATATCCATATGGATAATAATTGTGTATCTATTCAATTGTTAAATCTTGACATGATATGAAGTTTATGACATCGTCGTTTTCCATTTTTGGACGAACGGATTTCTCTTGTAGTCTACATAAATTAAATTAAATTAAACTTTCCGTAACGTACAAAACTTCGATTATTTAAAGAAATTTGACTCTGCTGACGATCCAGTTTAAAATTTAGTTTTAAAATGAGAAAATTGTAGAAATTGTAGAGATGAAAGGTGAAAATTGAATTCTGTAAGAAAACTTTAACCATTTCAGCAACAACACCATTCGCCAAGCGCCGCCGCGCTCGATTTACCATTCGATGAATTCTCACAAGGTTAGTTAGCTTTCAAGTTGTATATTTAAATGCACATTGTAAAATTCAAGGCATTTTAATATTCTTTATAAAATTTAACAGTGTCAGTACAAGATTCAAGCCAATTTTTGGATTTTTGTTCCTCTCAAAGATCGAAAACAAAATAAAAAAAGGCACAGACTACGGAACGTTCTTAGTGACAACCTAGACAGACATGAAAGGTGCACTTTAGAAAACGAGAATTTTGTGGATATGAAACGCTATCTTCCCAACAATAACCAAGACAAGACTATTTAGTTTTGGGAGTGGGACAAATGCGACCTTTTTTTTGCGCACCCGGCCATTTGCGCACCTTTTTTTCCGCACCTGGCCCATTAGCGCACCTTTTTTCGCGTTTTAAAAAAGCTCTAAAAAGCTAATATTAACCAATTTCTATTCCAAAAGTTGTTTTTCTAGATAATTGTAGGGCGTAGAATCGAAATTTTGACATATCAGAGCTTGTGGAAGCGAACGGACGGAGTTATACAAAGAGAAAAATCGACCATTTTCTGTAATTTGACCTACCCGTTTTGTCTTTCAAATTGATTCCACACGCTCTGTTATGTCAAAATTTCGATTCTACACCCTCAAATTACCTAGAAAAACAACTTTTGGAATAGAAATTGGTTAATATTAGCTTTTTAGAGCTTTTTTAAAACGCGAAAAAAGGTGCGCTAATGGGCCAGGTGCGGAAAAAAAGGTGCGCAAATGGCCGGGTGCGCAAAAAAAAGGTCGCATTTGTCCCACTCCCTTTAGTTTTCGATGAAATGGAGAATCGAGCGATTCCGTCGTATCACATGGAGACGTCGCACATCCAGCAGAGCTCCTCGACGCAATATGCTGAAATGAGACCAATGCAACAACCATCACAGCAACAAGAAGTACAGAAATTCGATAAATTTGAGAACAGTTTATAGCTTTACAACTTTATTGGATAAATTTCAGACGGTTGTCTATCATCAACGGCAACAAGTGAACTATTTGGATGCGCAGGGTCAACCGCAACAAACCACATACTATCAGGTTAGATTAGAGAAGAATAGAATATTTTGCTAACAAAAAAACTTTAGTACGATTCAACGGGGCAACAACAGCCACAAATCCATCAACTACAATCACAACACATGCAAAACACTCAAATCCAAATGTTGTCTGAGACGCAAATCGTTTGTTTTTATGGAAAATCGAGCAATAATCATCACATTTTTATACGTTACAGATTAAAAGCTCGTCTGTACTTTGTGCTCTTGAAAACGCCCATCTTCTCGCACACTCAATCTTGCTAGTGTGCCAAAAGATTTGCGTTTGCTAGAGCACAAAGTACAAACTGTACTCGGTAAAACTTACTCTCTTTATTGTACTGTTTAGGTGCAAATGAATGATTCCTCGCAGATCCTCATAGAACCCTCCACTTCACAAGTGCCCATGCAACAGGTATTCATCAAAGCGACAACAATATTGAGTCTAAAATTTAGCCCCAACAAATCATTCAACAATCCTCCACCCTGCAACCCGTTCAACCCCCACCATTGTCCAAAGGAAAAGCTCGCTCAAACAATCGCCCAAATGGTTCACGGAGTAAAAAACCGCGTAAGTGAAAATGTCTAGACTATTGCATAAAAAACTGGAACTACTGTACTAGGATTAATGCCATTCAGATAGCTCAACATTTAGATAACATTCAGATATTCATTCAGATAACAAGTAAACTTGTTGTAAGCTTTAAAAGAAAATTCATTGAACAATGCATTTTCTTTTGGTTGGCTAAAATCGAAACCTCTTTTAGCTTCACAATCGGCGAATTCGGTGGGTGCAGTGTTGGCGACAGCGAATCGGATGGCAAAACAAGTGGGAGGAGGGGAGACGGCCAGCTCATCGGAAATGGCTTCATCATTGACACTTACACTTGAACAAGCTCAAATGGTGGCTGAATTTGGAAGTGGTGAGTACATTGCTAACAAGAGAACCACAGATACTTACGGACGCTGATTGCCCCCAAAATTAGTGGGTAGATAGAAGCTACTCTGGGGAACAGCAACAACAGAAAGCGAAATGTTTATCATCGTTATAACTACCGAAATCTTGGAGCCTTACAGCTGAATTTTTAATATGTTGTTCGGCTGAGTCGCCTCTACATCTACCCACTAATTTTGGGGGTAATCGGCGTTCGTAAGTTTATTGTAAGTAAAGATTATTTGACTGGTTTGCTTTATTTTTTGGTTCTTAATTCACTTTATCGAAAGATAATGGGGTTTAGAATGCAAAAATTCGACTCATACAATTTCCAGAAATCGCTCGCTTGAAAGAGGTGCTCAAACAGGCGCCCGAGTTGGAGAAGCAGAAGATTCAGGCCCGAATCAACGAGTTGACGACCAAGACGCAGAATATTTTCTTTGAGACTCTCAAGCAACAACATGCTGAGTGAGTTGGAGAAAGCAATTCTTCAATTGAATATCTTTTAGATTGGCTCAAGTAGTGGCTCAACCCGAACCCACTCCCCAACCTCCACCCAACAAGACTCGTCCACCAATAAGGCCGATGAATCAAGTACTTTCAAAGAATTACTATAGCTTTTCAGACCCATTTTTTTGATTAGCTTATTGCTTGAGTTTGCAGTGTGCATGTAGGATTCTTAAGAAAACGCTTGGAAGAGTTTATTCACAAAAAAAAGTTACATGTACTTAGATTCAAAGAATAAACTCTTTCCTTGCTTTATGCATGAGTTTTTAGACTGAATTGCTTATTCAACCGCCGTCAAATCACCCACAAGAGTCATCAATAAAAGCAGAACCATCAAAATCGAAGAAGAAAAAGAATAAGAAACAAGAGCCGAATGCACCAATCTATCTACAAAGTGTTGCCCAGGGATATGTGGCTGTGCAGAATGTGTTCCCAAATCAACCAAATCAATCACAAATCAATCACAATCTTGCTCCGAATAGCAACAACTCGAACATGCCCGTTCAATTAATGCAAGTATTGCAACAACCCGACGGCACACTCATTTACCTTGATCAAGGAAATATGATGCAAGTGCAAGGACAAGAAACCCATCAAATAAAAGGCAATGAAGAAAGGCCAATAATTGAGCGACCACCCGGCCCAATACCGTTTGAAATGGGCTCACCGATTGGGGAAAAGGGTAGAATGAATTCCACTGGACAATCGGGAAATCGGTACACTGGATCGAAAGGTACACTGCAAGCACACGGCACTTTTCAAATCCCATCCCATGCCAATCTACCGCCGAATCCATATTTATCAAATAATGAAAAACAAGCCTCATATCCTACCTCAACCACTGAATCCTATAGTAAAGCAGAAGCTCAATTCCAACAACCATTTCCCGTTCAATCAACAGGAAACTCCAATCGTTTTCCCATTTCACATATCTCTCATCAATCTCAAGTCGAGTCCCCAGATCTTCCGCCAAAGCTCTTACCGGAGAGATCGATCTCTCCATGGACTCGCGAATCGATCCCTACACAAATCCCTGTTTCATCCGTTCATCAACCATCTCCACACTCATCTATCTTACCATCAGCTGTGAGATTTTCAATGTTGCTTTTGTGCTATTCGCTTAGATTCAGGCAAATCCATCAGTCTATCTGCTTTACTTTGATTCTAAACCAGTTCTAGACAATCCACATTTGTTTTAAAGTAACACAAAATTCTCATCTGTTATTTGCTATGAAATCTAACCGAATAGCACTTTGCTTTTGGGGAAATATGGCTTAGCCTTTATGTTGCTTTTGGCTTAGCCCTAGTTGTTCCCTAGTTGAAACTTACATTTTCTTTTTGTTTACAAACTAATCCATAGTTCTGGCATTGGGATTTTGTTTGCATGCTTGACAGCTATAGATTGTTAGATTGCTATAGCTTGTTTATGTTGATTTATAGTCAAAATTAGTCAATATAGTCATGTTGATTGTAAAATATATCAAAGATAGATCAATAATTGGGTTGAAATCTTTATTTTAGCCCTCTCAACTCCGACCTCAACCCCAGCCTCCCCAACAATTCTATACGCCCGTGCAGCAGCAGAATATTCAGGTTGAATTTTGAATCAACTATTGGGTTGGTGAATTGAAAACTGCCGAACTTTGAACTAAAATTTATTGAACATAAAACCATAAATTCATTCCAAATAATTACCATTATTATTGACGACTTCTGCCCATTTTACAGGCAATTTGCGGATTCCTCTTTCGTAGTAGGATTTTGCTTTTGAATCGAAAAGCTTCCAAAGCCAATTTTTGACTGCTTCTTCCGAATCGAAGTGTTCTCCCGCAAGCTCATTACTCATGATCCGGAATAAATAGTAATCAAAAGGGGCGAGGTCCGGACTGTATGGGTGATGCGCCAAAAGTTCCCAAACAAGACTACTTATTTTAGAGCGAGACTTTAAACTAAAATTTATTCAACATAAAACCATAATTACCATTATTATTGACGACTTCTGCCCATTTTACAGGCAATTTACGGACTCCTCTTTCGTAGTAGGATTTTGGTTTGTGTGTGAGACAAGTGTGAGACTCAAAAATGGAGAACTGAGATGTCGAGTGTCCAGTTTGAGCACTTCTTCAAAGAAACCCATTTTGGTGTCAATAGAGTTGTAGAGAATCAAAAATTGGCTTTAGCCAAATTTCCAAAAAGATACACTTAGTAGTTTCGCTTAAAATGCAAATTTTGTGAAAATTCGTAAATTTGGCATTTCTTGAAAACCAGTTTTTGAATCGTTCTGACAATTTGGATATAAGCTTGATTTTTGATTCTCTACAACTTTTCCATTGACACCAAAATGGGTTTCTTTTGAAGAAAGTCCTCAAACTGTCACATATGACAATAGCCCGCAGTTTTCAATTCACCAACCCAATAAATATGATATATATAGATAGATTTAAGTCTAATACAAGATATTTTCTAGACAACCCCGATTTCTGTGCCTTCTCAGCAAATCTCTCAAATCACGACCACCCCATTGGCCGCAAATCGACGCCAACCTGTGCCAAAGGTTAATCTCAATCAAGACTGGTTCTCCCAGTCCACCTTCGTTTTCTCAGCCATCTCTTCGTCGAGTTTTCTGAAAATTTTTTTTACTAATAGAAATTAGCATTCTTGTAGGCGAAATTTCAAAGCAATCGGCCAAGAGATGGCTGAGAAAACGAAGGTGAAATTCGATTCGGCTTGGAATTTTCCCAGCATATACTTGACCATCACCTGGCCTGGACTTTTGAACCAGTCCCGACTTTAATACAAAAAGAATATCTTTAAATTTTTAGAACCAACAAATGCCCCTAGCCTATGTGAAATCAATTCCGTCAACATCTTCCTCAAATCCACCCACCCAATTCATTCAACAACCGCCTCCACAAACAACTGGACCAAATGGGCAACAGATTATCACCAGTCACACCAGTCAACCGGTGAGAAAATTTTCTTTCGTTCAGACGTTCAGACGTCAACAAATCGTTCAGACATCGCAGCCTCAAATTCAACACTTCACTCAAACGCAATTTCAACAAGTTGCTGGTCAAATGATGCAAGTGCAAGGACACGAGCCGACAGTCGGAGAGGTTTGCTTTTCAAATCCTTTCCAAATTCTTTCCAATTTCACCCTTTCAGGTAGTAAAAGTTGTGTTTGGTGGACCGTCGGGTGAAGCTACGGGAAATGTGGGAGGTGAGTCAAAAGAAGCGCTTTCCAATTCGTTATCCAAACTGAATTAAGTGCTTTTATTTAAAGGTGGACGTGGAAGGCAGCAAGTTGTACTTCAACAACAACGAAGTGGAAACAATCAACAAACGATGATGATTAGGGGAATGCAGGCGACCCAAGCAATCCATTTTCAACACCAACCACAACAAGTCATCATTGTTGAGGCACCACCACAACCGATTCAGGTGAGAGATCATGGAAATTACTATCTCTTCTCTACTATCTCTTCTCTAGCTGAATTTTATATTGTAGATCATATTCAGATATTTTTTTGAATAGTATTGTAACCAGAAAAGTATTGGTATTGTTAAAATCTAGCTACAGATCCCGCGAATGAATCCGGCTGAATGTGCGAAACGAATGGCGGAAAGGAGAGAGGCGAAAGCACAACGGTTTGTGTTACTATAGTAATAGAAATGGCTTTAAAGGCGGCTTTAAAGGCTTTCAAGGCTTTAAAGACTTCAAGGCTTCAAGGCTTTAAAGGCTTCAAGGCTTCAAGGCTTTAAAGACTTCAAGGCTTCAAGGCTTTAAAGACTTCAAGGCTTCAAGGCTTTAAAGGCTTCAAGGCTTCAAGGCTTTAAAGGCTTTAAAAGCTTCAAGGCTTCAAGGCTTTAAAGCATCTTTGTTGATTTTGATTCCCAAATCGCCAAAAGAAAGCCTTTCTGTCCGAAGTGATCGCTCCCCAAATCATCACTGATGCCGGATGAGCATTCCTTGTGATCATTCATCCGTTGGCATTAACATTTTAAATGTTTAGATTAATGTAGAACGAGTCTAAAAACGAATACTTAGGGAAGGATTATTGTAGGATGTAGTAATAATGCTTAGGATAAGATGGTCTATATCAGTGGAGTATTACTGCAGAATGGGCACTCTATCAACACTAGCCATAGCTGACCAATTTAACCGATTTATTTCAATCAAAACCTGCCCATTCTACTAATATTCTAATTTCAAAGCATTTAACTATTCAAAAATTTTAGTTTACGAGAAGCTTTCACCAATCTCGCATCCCGAATTGACAATCCACAAACGGAGAAAAAGTTTGAGTCAATGAGCGATGTGATGAATCGTCTCCTTCCGTATGGCCTTTTCGATGAGCCTCATATTTCTGATGAGTCTATTGATGCTGGTGAGTTGAAAAATGGGATTCCTTTGATAAGAAATTCATAGCTGATCACCATTTGATGCGAAGATTTGCGCATCTTTCCGTCAAAAACAATCTCCTCATGAAGCGCTTTCGGAAAGCTTTCGTCGATGAAGCGCAGGTGAAATTTATTGGTTTTGATACTATTTGACTACTAAATTTCAATACTTTTCATTTTCTATCGTCTTAAGCTTGACTGTCTACTTGATTCTAATTCATAGCCTGTAAAAGCCTGTAAAAAAATGCAGTACACCCGGAAACAGACAGTAGTTGTTCTAAGCTTGACTAAGCTTGTTCTAAGCTTGACTAAGCTTGTTCTAAGCGTCTTAAGCTTGACGGTCTACTTGATTCTAATTCATAGCCTGTAAACAAATGCAGTACACCCGGAAACAGACAGTAATTGTTCTAATAGACGATTGTTTATTAGAATTGCTTATTTCCAATAGATGCTGCTATTAGAATAATTACAGTAAATGATCTATGAATATCATCGGATTGTTGTTTTTAAAAATACATTTCTAGCGCGAGTGCAACTCTCAAGAGAAAAATCTGTTACTCTATTTGGAGCTCGAGTACGAGAAGAGAAAATTCGAAGAAGATAAGGCACTTTGTCGAGAGGAAAGGGGACAAGGTGAGTGAAACAAAACGATCAAATTCTACATGATACTCTTGAATATATTCTTTTTTATATATCTTATCTTTTAGAAAGGCTAATCGAGAGCTCATCTCTGATACCGGCACTTCGAGAGGCCGGCATTTCAGATCCCCGTGCTGTTTCCCGACTCTCCAAAGGACCCGCCCCACCAAGAATTGGGGTAATTATATGGATTTTTAATAGAAATAATATCTAGATGAATATGTTGATGATCTACGCATTATTGTATTGTTAAAAATCTAGATTTTTGCTTACGAGTATCACCCGTTCAACGATGTGCCTTCACCCAACCCACGACCTCCACCCTCGCCCAGCCCACCGCCATATGTGAGTAGAGAAAATATTTGCTAGACTTTTAGAGTATTATATTTATTTATTTATTTATTTATCTATTTATTTATTGATCTATTTATCTATTTAGGTGCCTTCATCGTCAGCTTCATCTTTCCTTTCATCACCACCACAATCACAATCACAATCACTTACAACATCCAGTCGTCAATCTTCTCGATCACCCGAGAAAATCTACAAACGCCAACCACCAGCTAGGGTTTGTTTTTGAAATTATTTCCTTTATTTTTCTTTCTTTTCTCTTCTTTGACAATTTTCTTTGTTTCATTGTTGTTTTCAAAGCATTTTTTTAGCCAATCGCCTCCAAAGAACCAAGATCAGCTAAATTTGTCGAAAAGAAGAGATCTCTGGAGGATGAAATGCCGAAGATTCAAAAACCCCAATCACCAGTTGTTATCAAAGAGAACCTTCAACCAATCACCGAATGTCTCGAGTTGAAAAAGGAGCCGGAAGAGAAGAACAAATTTAAGGTATTTCTATGGATAATATTGTTGTGTATCGTATAGCCAACAACTCTTTAACAACCTCACTACAGGCATTGTTACTCGATAAGTTTGTGCGGTACTATAGATGTTCCAATTGGACTCTAGAGTTTAAAAGCCAGGCCAAGCCCAGATAGCCCAGTCTAGGCCTGCAGTAAAGCCAAGTCTTGCAAAGCCAAAATAAAGCTAGGTCTAACCTTAGCTTTTTTGAGCTGACCTAAAGTTGGCTCTAGCCCAGTCTACTAAAGATTAAATTTCATTATCAAGATAGATTGAGAATTGAAATCCTTTTCAAATTCTTGCATTCTAGACAATGCGTTCTCCACCAACCCGTTACCCTCAACCATTGAAGATGAGAGCGAAAGCACACGATAGAAAAGAAAGAGAAGAAGATCGAGCAAATGAGGAAAGAAGAAAAAGAGAGGAATGGATAGCGGATAAAGTGTTGAAAGAAGAGACATTGGCACAAACGATTAAAGCTGGAACCACATCGACTACAGCTGCATCAATGGGTATCAAGACGAAGTTGACACTTCCATCAACGGCACAGGTATGCCTCTATCAAAGATTTTTATCAATAAAACTAAATAATTAAATGTAAATCTTAGATTCCACAATCGAAAGTCGCTTCAACAAAAGAGCAAAAGGTTTGAATGAAGAAAAGGATTTGTTTTTTTTAAATTTTGTTTTATTTTAGCCAGTTTTGCCAGCTAAAGTCTGTCGAAGTGAGTCGAATTTGGAGGAAGAAGCATCAGATGAAACGAGATCGGGAACAGCATCACCAGAATTAGGAGAAGAGAAGGGAAAAGGAAAAGAAAGAGAAAAAACCCCTCCACCGTCATCCCATCCATCAACTATCATCGTTGGCATACCGAGCACCAAAGTGCCGTTGGCCGCCTTGGCGAGGAGACCGCTGCAGCAAGTCAGTTCAGACACAGTGCACGTCCGCGCGAAATAAGGCGAAAAATGCGATCGCCGTTAAACTTGCTCACGATAAGTGCTATTTGATGCGAAAAAATGTCCTGAATTCAAATTTGAAAGAATTTTTCGAATCCGTCTGAAAGATTTTTTTTAAATCAAAAAAAATCGAAAAAATCACTATTTTTAGAAGGCGTCAGTCGATAACAGGCACGTCGAAAAACAGCTCTGCTAGGTTCCAATTTCTAGGGCATCGGATTTGAAGGACTTTTCGAAACCAAGTCGAGTTGACAGATCTTCAAAATTTTGGAAAATTGAGCCTAGACAATGTGTGCCACCGATTCTGCATTTGAAACTTGGTTTTGGGAACTTGATTTTTAAAGCTATGAAAGACCAGATGGATAACAATGCGACAGCTAAGAAATATCTAAATTTGCATACTTAAACTATAAATACTGTAAAAGCATAAACTAATAAAAGCCTCATTGTGAATTTGAGCAGAGCTGTTTTTCGACGTGCCTGTTATCGACTGACGCCTTCTACCTGTAAAACACAAATCATTCGTTGAAATCAAAATTATGTAAACGATAAAAAAGGAGCCAAAATTTTGATTGAAGGAAAGAAAAGCAAAAAGAATGGGGGTGGGACAAATGCGACCTTTTTTTTGCGCACCTGGACATTTGCGCACCTTTTTTTTTTGCTGGAAAAGGCCTTAGGAAAGGCCGTAGAGCTTCGAAAATATTTCGAAAATTTTTCCATAAAAGGGAATCGTATGCGTAGATTCCGAATTTCGACAAATCGGACCTCGCTGACACGTCAAATTTGGGCTAAAAGGCAAAAACTGCGGAAAAGCGTTAAGTTGCGTAGTTTTTGCCTTTTAGCCCAAATTTGACGTGTCAGCGAGGTCTGATTTGTCAAAATTCTGAATCTACGCATACGATTCCTTTAAATGGAAATATTTTCGAAGCTCTACGGCCTTTCCTAAAGCCTTTTCCAGCAAAAAAAAGGTGCGCAAATGTCCAGGTGCGCAAAAAAAAGTCGCATTTGTCCCACCCCCAAAAGAATTGAAGAAATTCATAAAAACCCATTTGTTTGTTTTATAATTTTGTTTTTTTTTTTAATGATTACGGTAGTTTACCCACGCTTAAGCGCGCAGAAAGTTGAAAAACGCTACTTTTGCGTTCAAAAGGCATCAACTTTTCACAAATTCACCCAATTGATCTCGTTTTGGTGTCAAAATGTGCACAAGACCCTTGAGCATAAAGTTTGGTATATGACGCTCACCAAAATTTCCTTTTCGCCGAGAACCAGCCTGTAAAAGAGAGGCAATTTTGGCGTTTATATGGAAAAATAGTGATTTTTCGATTTTTTTCGATTTAAAAAAAATCTGTCAGACGGATTCGAAAAATTCTTTCAAATTTGAATTCAGGACATTTTTTCGCATCAAATAGCATTTACCGTGAGCAAGTTTAACGGCGATCGCATTTTCGCGCGGATGTTCAGTGGCTTTTAAGATTTCAAATAAATGTACAAAGTACTGTAGAGTGCTGTAGAGTACTGTAGAGCGCTGTAGAGTGCTGTAGAGTGCTGTAGAGTGCTGTAGAGAGCTGTAAAGTACTCTAGAGTACTGTAGAGTACTGTGCGATGATTTTAAGTACAGTTTTGCATCTGAAAGGCCAGCTCTTATGCCAAAATGATGTCAAGAGTAGAAATTGGTATTAGACTTGTTTTCTAGATGAACATCCACTTGTCTAAGCTTTCCTTGGCCAGAAAACAAATTGCTACATCAAATCTCTGCATAGCTATTAGACTTGAGGTCCTAAAACAACTCGATTTACAGAACCATCTCCCCGATTCATCTCCCAAAATGCCACCCCTATCAATCAACGCAAATTTGTGGTCATTGAAAGCAAAAGAACGAACAAATGAAGAGAATCGAGCTGAACCAATTAAACTCAAGGTTTATCTTTTGTAAAATAGTTTAATTTTGTTTTTAGCTTAAACTCGGACCTGTTATGATGGAGAAAGTTCTCTCGGAGAGTCCAGCAAACGAAGAAGGGAGAAAGGTTAAACTCAATTTTGGAAAGGCTTTAAACAAAAGAAATTTTAGAAACGAAAGAAGGAAAAGAAAGAAAAGCGAAAGAAGGAGAAAAAGCAGAGAATGGATGAAGATGTTTATGATTTCGAGGATGATCAATCGATTAAAACGCTTGTCAATGGAGAGCATTCAGGGTGGAATGGAACGGTTCGTGACTATAGAAAATGTTAAATACTTAAGAAATGCATATCTCTGAGCCTTTCCATTTCAGAGACTCTAAAAGACTATCTCTGACTAAGAAATGCATATCTCTGAGCCTTTCCATTTCAGAGACTCTGAAAGACTATCTCTGACTAAGAAATGCATATCTCTGAGCCTTTCCATTTCAGAGACTCTGAAAGACTATCTCTGACTAAGAAATCTCTGAAGACCATCTCTGAAATTGTCAAAATTTTACTTACAAATCATTTTTTAGCATGATGAGAGCGAGCCGTGCTGCTCGAAATCGTTGAGTCCTGAAAGGGTGATCGTTGAACCGCTCGTCTTTCAGATCAACAAAACCGATAATCCATTGGTTTGTTGTCAAAAAAACGATAATCGATTTATTAAAAAACCTTTCAGAAAATCAAAATCAAGAAACTTGGTCTCTCTGCCTCTCCATCTATCTCACCGATTCCATCACCGATTCCTCGGTCGACTTCCGGTTTGAAGCTGAGAATCTCGAAGCCGAGAAGCGAGTCGCCAATCGTGCAAATTGTAAGTGAACAAACTCTCAAAACAAACAAACTACTAGATTAACAACAGAACAAACTCTCCTTTCAAAACTAAAAACTCTAAACTAATCTTAGCAAGTTCGACTCTAAAAACTACTAGATTAACATTAATTTGTGATTCTAGAAGACCGAACCACCGCAACCCATGATCGCAGTACCAAAGTTGAAGATCACCTTCGGGAAACCGCCACCACCACCCGTACTGCACCTACAACAGCCAAGAGTTGCACCGGACGAGCCAAAAGAACCTAAAGTGATCCTGAAAATACCTGAGAAGATCAAGATCGACGCATCAAATGGACACACTGAGGTTAGTGTTGGAAATTTCGAAACTTGTAATGATACTACTAATAAAAATTCAAAATTCTAAGAATCATGAGTTTCAAAAAGTACAATTCTCAATAGATTTTGATAATAAAACATCTTCTAGGCTTCTTCACTCCCAAAGATCCCACCGTTAAAGATAAAACTTGGACCTCCACCCCCAGAAAAGAAACTCGAGATCATTCAACCGGAAAAGAAGATTGAGAAAGTGGAAAAGCCTCCAGAAAATCAACAAGAACAAGAAGAAAAACAAGAAGAAAAACAAGAACAACAACGAGAACAACAACGAGAACAACAACGAGAACAACAACGAGAACAACAACGAGAACAAGAACGAGAGAAACTTCCACTAGTCATGATAAAGCCTCCATCTCGTGTCTCATCGAATTCTCCATCACCGCCACCGCTTCGACCAATCACCACACAACGGGCTTCCGATCAAGGAAGAGCACCGTTCACGAAAGAAAGGTAACTGGATTCTAGAACAAATCTTTTACTTATTTTGTTAAAAGTTTAGTATTGTAAATTCAAGTACTCTGTCGGACTAGGGCCCAAAAGGGCCCTAGTCCGACAAGGCCCAAAAGTAGGCCGATAAGACTTATAGCTTTGGTTCGGTGGCTTAAAGCTTAAAGGTTAATTCCAGTTTGTTAAATAGATTCAAAAGTAAGCCGATAAGACTTATAGCTTTGGTTCGGTGGCTTAAAGTTCAAAGGTTAATACCAGTTTGTTAAATAGATTCATTATACTGTACGGTGAAACAGCAACGATTTATCGTAACTCTAAATCAACACTTCCAATTTAGCTCCCCTTTGAAACACCCTCAAAAGAGCTCGACATACAAGCCATTCCCGCATGGAGTCAAGAAAGGATCAGCTCGACCAATGCCCACAGCTCAAGTATGCAATTTGTTCTTAGCTTTTTTTGGATTACAAAATTTCAGCAAATCTTCGGCAATCCGGGAAAAGCTTTATTCAAACGGGGTCCCCAATCTCGAAGTCGGCCAGCCGGGAATCCATCTCAACCCCGTCGACATCCATCTCCTCCACAACAATCTCATCAATCAATTCATTCAATGAATCGTCCGATCCCTCTTTCTCGTCCTTCTGTCGTTCTCCCAAAACCGACACCGCCTCCACCCTTTTCCCAATCAAAACCCCAACCCGTTTCTGCTCAACAAACGAGTATCGTTTTCTCTGATGACGGTGAGTGTTCTTATCATTGTTGATCCATAGTTAGTTCATTTATACAATTGAGCTCAGCTGAGTTAGCTTTGAACTTTAAAATTGTTCGGTAGAGAGATCTGGAAGCAAAAATAGCAATTGTTAGCCTTTTTTTCATACAAATCTTGGCTATCGATTCATTTCTGTTCATCAATTCATCAATTCATAAATTCCAATTAATTTTACAAGCTTAAGAGTCATTTCTGAACAATTTTACAGCTTTAGAGCTATTTCTAAACAGTTTTAGAGCTATTTCTAAAAAGTTTTAGAGCTTAAGAGCCATTTCTCAGTTATACAAGTTAAGCTAGGTACAGTACTGGACAATGAAATATCATATTTGAAAAACAATCGTCACTTTCGCGTCCTTGCTTGACCGCTCAAGAAGGGAGAATTTCGCAAATTTGATTTTTTCGCCATAAAACTTTGATACAATTTTACAAATATTGATTATTCTACGGTAAATTTTTGTGTAGATTCTGAAAATCGTACTTTCAGAGCGATTCCAGCACTTTATCAGAAAGAAAAAGAGCTTTGAAAAAGCAAAAATTTTGAGTATCCAATGTTGTGCGCGCTGAAATGCGTTAAAAAATACCGTATTTCGAAATATTAATATTACCATTGTGTAGCCCTTGAAAAGAGCTTTTAGAAAATGTATAACACTAATAGTTTAAACTCAAAGATAAGGGAGTTATAGAAGCGGGAAAGTGACGATCGCTTTTCAAATATGATATTTCATTGTCTAGTACTGTAGCTCAGAGCTTTGAGAACAAAGAAATCTAGAGATTTTAAATCTATCAACTGATAGAGTACTTTCTTTTAAATCTAAACTGCAGAAACTATAGTATTCCAGTAAAGTAGGATACTTTACTAAATGTTTTTTTTTCTAGAAGACGAAGCCGAGTCGAGTTCCCAGCACCGCTCTGAGTCTGAGATCGAGGCCGCTCTCGCTCGTTTCGGTCTCGTTTCAAGTACATCCGATGGAATGAATGGTTTCCTCAAAACTCTTGATCCCCATCGATCAAATTGATCTGATTTCTTTTTTATTCATCTAATCGTCTAATTCATTGACCAATAGTTCTACAATTTGCCTTTACACGGGTTTTCTCCTCAAAATTCTCCCACTCAATTGCCCCTGTTGAAAGAAAAAACAAATGTTTGTTTTATGTGAATTCTTTTAAACAAATCCTCATCATAGTTTTCAATGTCTCATTCAAATTACGGTTTTCTTTTTGGTTTCAGTATTTTGTTATGAGAAAATGAAGGGAAATTGTTGATTAAAAAGCTGATCGTTTGAAAGTAAATGAAGGAGAATTCTGAATTCTGAAAGCAATTCTGAATTCTGAAAGCAATTCTGAATTCTGAAAGCAATTCGGAATTCTGAAAGCAATTCGGAATTCTGAAAGCAATTCGAATTCTGAAAGCAATTCGGAATTCTGAAAGCAATTCTGAATTCTGAAAGCAATTTTGAATTCTGAAAGCAATTCTGAATTCTGAAAGCAATTCGGAAAGCAATTTATCCTCATAATCAATCTTTTTTCAAGAATTTCAATATGATCAGCTTTTTATAACGTTTAAAATTAGTTTAAGATCTTAAATCAATCGGCTTTCCCTATCGAAATCTCTCTTTTCTCTCTTTTTTCATTTATTATATTTTCAGTTGCTCAATGACCCCAAAATTCTCTAAACTGTATTCAATTTGGAAAAGCTATCGTACTCGTTTTTTTTAAAAGATGCGCTAGGAAAGCTACAGTAGCTCGGATTGTTTAAACTTACTGTAAATACTGTAATTGGACCCCACCCCCATAATGACGGTGCGGAGTGTTGCGTAGTCTAGCTTTGAACGAGTCTTTCTCGACACTGGTTTAAGCTACAATGCGCGCTTAGGTATCAAAAAATAGCCCTGAATTTCAGCTATTTTTTAATACCAAAAACGCTTTTTTTGAAAGTACGAGCGCTTTGAAAAAAATGAAATACTAAAAAACTTTTGCGACTACGCGACTGTACGAGCGGTGATACTATTACAGTATTTACGGTATCTAAATCTAAACCAGCTCATCTTTAAAGCTTACATAAAGCTCAACGATTTTCAATTAAACTCTGTTCTAACTTCTTTCTAAAGAATATACTTTCTATCGTAAGTAGTCTAGATTAAGGTTAATTAAGTTGTTTTCTAAAAATTACGGTAGTTGGCCAAAAGCTACTTCTGAATTACTGGATTTTGGTAGCTTTTTCCTAAGCGTACTTTTAGAAAGAAGCTACGGCAACTCTACGATAAGCTGATTAGCAAAAATGACTGCTTCCGAATTACGATAGCTGGATGAGCTATCGTAATTCGGAAGCAGTCATTTTTGCTAATCAGCTTATCGTTTCTTAAGCTCACTCATCCCTAAGCCTGAGCCTGAGCGGAATACAGTCTTCCTCAAACACAAATTTCCCCCTTCACTTTCAACTCTTTTGCTTTTCTCCAGCACTTTCTGTAATCTTTTCTTTATAGCTTATTGTTATTCCCTAGTCAAACTTTAGTTTTTTTTTATTTCCTCTTTCAAACAACCATTTTTTTTTTGGCTGTGCCACTTCTCTATATTCCCCCGACCAAAAGTGCTTTGGCGAGATCTCAGAAAGTAATGAGATTCTCCTATATCCATAAAAAAACATTTATTTCAAAATAAATCGACAAATCCCTGTGTCACTCGATTGGCATTCATTTATCTTTTGTTGGTGCTGAACAAGATGGAAAAAAAAGAATGGATTGCAATTTTTATCTCAAAAAAGGGTTCTTTTGGCTTGAGTCAAATTTCATTTAGAATTTACTCGAAGTACTTCAAATTTATGAATCAAAAATCAAAAATCAAAAATCAAAAAAAAAACAAAAAGAAGAATCAAAAATTAAAACACAAATTTTTTGTTAAAGAATAGTAAAGCCTTTATTGGCTCATTACAGAAATAATAAGTAGTCAGTTGTTAAACTGAATATCTTTTTAAATTTGTTTTAAATTCGTTAAGCTGAATATCTTTTTAAATTCGTTTTAAATTTGTTAAACTGAATATCTTTTTAAATTCATTTTAAATTCTTTCATTCAGCTCAGCGTAATTTAGTCGATTTCGACTTACTTTACTTTTAGTACTTTAGAAACTTAGAAAACTTAGAAATACTTACCGTAAATACTGTAATAGTACCCCACCCCCATAATGACGGTGCGGAGCGTCGCGTAGTCTAACTTTAAACGCATTTTTCTCGTCACTCCTTTATGCTACAATGCGCGCTTAGATATCAAAAAATAGCCTTGAATTTCAGCTATTTTTTGATACCTAAGCGCGCATTGTAGCATAAACCAGTCTCGAGAAAAACACGTTCAAAGCTAGACTACGCAACACTTCACTCCGTGATTATAGGGGTGGGGTCCAATTACAGTATTTACGGTACTTACTTTCAGAATACTTTTAGAAACTAGGAAATAATGAATTCTACTCTATTTTATAGTATAATACGTAATAATCCTTGATTTAACTTATATAGTTTATAAGAATAAAAATTTTTTATTAAAACTTTCATTAAAACTTTAATTAAAACTTAATTGACATGAAAAGTAGCATATAAAATTTGCGCTTAGCTTCGATTTAGATAGCACGCGTCAAAACAGCCTCAAAGCCACAAAACTCTGAACCTTTCAAAGATAGATCTTAGCTTTCAAGTAATTCCTTGCTTTCCTTTCCTTTCTTTTAATTTTTTTCTTTTAATTCTTTATATATACAGTACCGAGCAAAAGTCTTGCAACATCACTTTTTCAAAAAATCGATGAAATTTTTTTATAGAAAATGCCACCCGTTCGTAGGGTTTTTTTGTTTTTAATTAGAATAATATATGTACACTTTATTTACAAAAATAAATTTGAAGTTCAGCGTAAAGCAAAAAAAGTAAATGGCAAAACTACTAAAAAATACCCTAAAAACTGGGTGCAAAAGTCTTGCAACATTTTACAGAAACATCAAAAATTAATATTCAATCGGTCCACCTTTTGCCAAAATCACTTCATTAAGTCGTTTAGGCATTGAGTCGACTAATTCGTGAAGAATTGCTGGGCGAATTGAGCTCCAAACTTTTCGTATGTAGAACCATAAGTCAACTTTTGTGTGAAAGTCTTTTCCTCGTAACTTTGCCTTCACGTAAGCCCATAAATTCTCAATAACGTTTAAATCAGGCGACATAGGGGGCACCTTGACCAACAAAACATTATTAAGGGCAAACCATCCAGGGAGATGAGCTTTTCCTCCATTTGAGAGATTCACCGTGCGACCCATCATGAGCTTGCTCTTGTGGACCGGCGAATTGTCCTGGTAGAGAAGCCATTCAGGAGCCATGTGATCCTGAGCAAATGGAAGTAGACATCCTTCTAGTATTTCCATATACTGGCGAGCATTCATGGTTGACTGGACGAGGACGAACGGACCTGCCACATTTTTTGTCATCGCCCCTAGAAAAAGACAAATTAATGCATGTATTAGAAATAAGGCTTACCAAAACACATGATTGATCCTCCGCCAGCTCGCATTGTAGGTCGCACATATTTAAGGAGTATTCGCTTTCCAATGGGTCGTCTGATCAAGTGGTTGCCTTTTGGAGAAAAGATATCCACTTTTGTTTCATCGATAAAAATCACGTTGGCCCAATTCTGCTTTGTCCAACTTTGGTACGTCCTGGCGAATAGAAGCCGTTGTTTCCTGTGGCCAGCGGTCATCAAAGGCTTTCGTACGGCCCTCCGGCTATACAGTCCTGCTTGAGTCAATCGTCGAGAAACGGTCCATCGAGAGATATCCTTGGTTGCAACATCCTTGATCAGCCGAGCTCCCTCAGTTGATGTCATGTTCGGATCCTTCTTGGAAGCCATCAAAAGTATTCGATCCTCTTTTGCTGTTGTTCTTCTTGGCCGTCCTTTCTTCTTTCTTCGGTGCATAAGTCCAGTTGTTTTTGCTTTTGAAACAATGCGAGAAACGGTCGATGGATCGCATTTGAAGAGATCAGAGACAACGGCTCGAGAAATTCCTTTTTTTCTTGCTTTCATGATTTTTTCTCTTTCGGGAGTCGTCAAGTAGGTACCTGGCATCTGAAAAAAACAAAAATTAGTGTAAATTAATAAATTTGAAAACAATAAAAATGAGAAACATATAATGTTGCAAGACTTTTGCACCCAGTTTTTAGGGTATTTTTTAGTAGTTTTGTCATTTACTTTTTTGTTTTACGCTGAACTTCAAATTTGTTTTTGTAAATAAAGTGTACATATATTATTCTAATTAAAAACAAAAAAGCCCTACGAACGGGTGGCATTTTCTATAAAAAAATTTCATCGATTTTTTTGAAAAAGTGATGTTGCAAGACTTTTGCTCGGTACTGTATTATATAAATATTAAATTTTTGGTATTCAGTGTGATCTTTTTGTATCCTTTCCCCTCATTTGAATTGTTTCCCCATTTTCTTTTCTCTATTTTTGCTTTTCAACGACGTTTTTATTTTGATGGTGGTTTGATTTTTTTGATTTTTATTTGGAAAAAGAATGAAAATGAAAAATTTCTTTTGAAAATCTTTTCATTGATCAATTTGAACATTTAAAAACATATTAAACTCATTTTATGAAAGAAAAACCCAATTGATTTAGAATTAGACAAATAGTAGATACTTTAGATTACCCTAAAGTCGCGAGTATAAGTTCTGTTTGGTTTTCGCATGCAAATTGACGGCTGTCTCCGGTGCGGTGTGTCGAGGGTTCGAACCCCGCTGCAGCATAACTTTTTTGCTTTTTAAGAACAATAATAGAAGTAAATTTATTGAGGGTTATAGCAATTTTTGTGCTGTTATTTGTTGCTCCGGGCGTGGCTCGGCGCGTCCGCCCTGCTCCTCTCCGGTGCTCAGTCTTATGGATCCCTCCCTGGCCTCTTCATCCGGCCAAAGTCCACATCGACGGTCGAAAGAGATGCTTTCCAGCGTCTTCTTCAACACTATCGTCTGGATGTGTCCATGCACATAACAAA